TGAAATCGACTCAGTCATTTGGACTACTGTGCTAGTCTAAACAAAAGTTCGTCGATTAGGAGAACGATTACTGTATTTAGGACATAATTATACACCAATTTACCTCTGATGGGTCATACAGAACCTGCCATAAAAATTTTAGTTAAAATCGCTTGTTGGCCCGGTTAAGGCCCAGTTAACGGATAGCAGTACTGACTATATTGCTTTGCCATGTGTCGCCGACATCACCGAAACCTTACCGTATTCATATCGTGCAAGATATTTAAAAAGCAGGTTGTAGAATTTTACCTTGAATTGGTTCAATGAATGTTTCACATACAATTGCCTCCGAGCATATAGACATCGCATCGTCTGTTTCGCAAGCATCGATCCCCTCCAATGAACGCAATGTTTTATATACAGCAAGCACCAAAGATTTTGCATGTTGAACTGATGAAAAAAAAAAAAATGAAAACTTAATTGCGAAGGTGCAGAGGAATATCAAGTGTTATCCGAGCAATCTCTTTTAATAAGTTTCAAATTTATTATTTATTATGTCCGTATGAAAAAACAAACGGTGTAGAAACTAACCAGCATGTTCGATTGACATTAAATTTTCAGTAATAATTATATGATGAAAAGACAGAGCAGCTATTTCACTTTCTCGACCCATAACAATTATGCGTCGGATCACTTCATCCGGACTCAATCGTGGTTTTATATATGATGGCAACAGCAGTTTCGCAATCTTGCAAGGAAAAAATATTATTAGTGATATTGAAATAAAAGTGCTGCAGTTAACAAAAATTTTAAATAATTTCATTTACCTCTTTCCGCACCATGCCAGATTCCTCAAGGGCAAAAACCTTCAAAATACGATCCATCTTCACCACTTCACTAAGCTAAAATATTTGTTGTTTACATCATTCATTAAGAGATAGAATTTCTACTGATTGATTTTCTACATCCATTCGTCACATGTTTTACAATTTCTAGAAGCCAAATGAAACATGTTTTCCTTCTGATGTACACAACTTAAGAAAAAACACTAACAAACCTTGATAAAACGATGGCCTACTAGCGCATTCAATAACTGAAACGCAGCTAGTCGAACACTGTCACAACGATCATTGATCCCTCTGTTATCAAATAGACATTTCAGAGCCCGCTCACAAGCATTCAGAGCGCTTCCGCAGCGTAAAAGATCGCGCATGCCTTCGTAAACTGCTATCCTCACACTTACAATGCTATCCACTGATAAAATGTCGATAATCTGAAAAAGAAATGTAGCGTGATAATAGTGCATATAATAATAGACACTTATTGTTTATTGTAAGATCAAAATTAGACCATATGGAAAAGTGATAAAAAATGCAGGCTGCAATAGGTCTATTATCTGCATAATTCAAATTAATACGTCAACTATAACTTTCATTGAAAGATGAAATTAAATCTCGCCCTTAGAATCAGTTATATGAAAAAGAGCCTTAAATGCTGAAAGCTACCTGCGTCAAGCACTGCTTGATGAAATCTAAAGAAAATGTATCGAAATACGTGCTCAGTATGAATAATGTACGCCTGCATGCTTCCGATCTAATTCCATAACTATCATCTTTTAGAAGATCGATAATTATTCCTTGCTGCAAACTAACGCTTTCTGCATTTTCCTGAAAGAATTAATTGGAATAATCTCGGAATACAGCTTTGGTTTTCAGTGGATTTGCTTATTTTAACAGTAGGTACTGTCAAAATAGATTGTATAGTTTTTGAGTACTTTAAAATTCTTATTCATAAAAGTATTTTACAAAAATGCATTGGCAATTTCACGTAATTCTGATTAAAAAAAAAAAAAAAAAACATTTCAAAATATTAATTGCAAAAGGAATCGATTTATTCCTTTTCCTACTTACATAAAGTAGTGAGGAAGAAACTTAGCATTTCATGGCAATTAAATGATACATTAAGTAAAAAAGACATTTTGAAAATTATTCGCGGAAAATGTACCTCCCTTACAAAGAAGCTTTGCATTTTTGACTAATGGAAGGTGGATTTTAATTTTAATTTCGGTGCGATCTGCAACAGAGGTACAGCGTTTTCCTAGGATAATTTTCTTGAACAATCAACTTTGTTTGCGAATTCCTGTATATATATATATATGAAATATAAAAAATATTATCACACTCTGTACCTCATGAGGAAGCTATGCTCAATTTATAACAGTACTGCAGTAAACAAAACTCTTAACCAAACTGGTATGACTCCAATAGACTGTTCTCTTAAATTAAAACATACGATATCATCATCCGAGACAAATGGATAGAACGGCAAGAAGAGGCAGCAAGCATTGCATCGTACCGTTTCATTAGCTGCCTTAAATAGTATAAATTAAAAAAGAAACCTACGGTTCAGAATTTCAATCTTTCGGCTAACAGAATACTGATGAAATTAAAAAAAATTCAAGGAAGAATGAAGACCTTCAAAGAACGCCACAAATTCGGCTCGAATGTGCGATATATCATTGCATCAATTTGTTTGCTTCTAGCTTTTCCGAGCGGCTCAAGCATCTGAAGTCTCGGAATTGCGAAGACCACATATTCAAATTTATTCCAATACAAGTATCAGAATCAGCGTTTCTTACTATATTGCTACAGCTACATTGTAACATTAGTTTAAATACTTATTAGCAAAGTCCATATTTGATAGCCTTATTTATTTCATATTTGTAAAATTCTCAAGATGCTCAAAATAAAACTACACATATTTTCTGAAAGCTATTGACTGAATTTTAATGAAACACTACAGAAAAATAATACCGCCATAAATTTTTTATTATAACGAAGATGCTGTAAGGAATAATAAACGATGTCCATAAAAATCCTTTCCAACCGATGTTGCAGTCTATGGACACCATCTTTTGCAGCATTCTTCCAGGCCAACAATAAAACCTCACCATAGTTGGCACATTGCATCCTCAAGTACAAGCATACAAAAATGGAATATAATAACAGACATTTATCAAAAAATCACGATGTGTTAAATTCCAAAATTGATTCAACTTGAGGTTGAAAACTGACAAATCTTTACTAACTTGTTAGTCTTTTCAGACGTGACAACTTTCTTCACTAATATCCAAAATTTGTCAGCACCAATTTTTGAAATGAAATGAGCTGTCAGTTTCTTACCCTGAATGAATAATGAAACGTTAATAATCTTAAATACGAAACTGAAACTCAAACTGAATTACGTAATAACGGACACATAAAACTGAACTGAGAAAAAAACCTTGCTAACAAAATTAATTATAAACTCTGGAAACTTCAAAAAGCTCCCATATATATGTAATAAGCTGATTGCTTTAGAGAACATTTTTATTGAAATTGTTAGACGGTTGCGCTTACCAAGAATCCAAGAGAAAATCACAAAGAAATTCCTAGTAGGAATCCTACCCATTACTGAAATAGGATTTTAGGTTACAAACCTCCAGTGAGGTAATAAAGGATGGTTCGTAAACAACACGTCTCAACTCATTAATTGTACACTTCTCTAACACTTCATCTACATCCAAATAAAGGCGTTTCAGGAGCTGTTTCTGAAAATTGCAGAATTTTTGTACAGAATCAGGATTCACCTAGTGAAAATATTGTTGCAAAACTGTTTCAGTTAGTCTGAAATCTTAGTCTACCGATATATATATATATATATATATATATTCGGCGCAACGAAAAATCTTACAGAATTTTTAAGTCACTGGAATGTCTCATACATATAATTTCAATTCAGTGCTTTAAACGAAGTGATGTAAATGACGCCATAGAAAATAGAAAAGAGTTCAGAAGAAATACCTGACCACGAATCGGTTTCACAGCTTTAACCAACAAGTCGCCATAAGAACTTAATTCATAGTCCAATTTCGAAAGGTTTCCTTCATCTTCTTTTTTTTCACTTTTCACTTTTATATTTCTTATTTCATGCTCTAACTTCGCATTCCCCAACGCTTTAAATACGAAAGTGTGCTTATTACCTGTATTATACATTTCACTCGTTGCAAAGAATAAGAGATTTGTTTTTATCCATTAAAGGGCAACTAAGCTTCCCGAAACTGATGTAGTATGTCACAGTGCATTGGAGTATCCAAGGAATTTGTCAACTAGGACTTCAATAAAAAAACAGGAAAAAATTGTTTCCTTCTCCACTGAAACTTACTCTAATAACCTATACACTCTGCTTTATACTTTTTCCCTCACAAAACTCGTTGCACTAAGTGACGGAAGACCTTCAAACGAAGTACAAAAATTAACATAATTCTGGTAGATGTTTTCTGACATATGGCAGTTCCTATATTCCAATATCTTTAAACAAAGCTATGGTTGAGCAATAAACACAAACTGCTAAGCAAATCAGTTGACGTACTTTTTCCCACAGGCCGATCCACTCGCTTCTTCGGCATTTCCGCTCCTAAATGCATATATTATTTTGCATGCAATGTTTCGCATACAACCCGCCCTTCAAATACCCAATGCATGAAGCAAACCCGAGACCACTACCCGAGATGCCACACCGTGGAGCAGAACTGAAACCAATGGTTATAATCTGTCAGCACTCCCGCCAAATCAACAATTTTGATTAATATTGTTGCGTCCTATAACGAAAGATGGCTTACGGTGTTACGTTAGAGATAGAAAGAAACATGGATAGAAGAGGATGAGAGGAGAAAAGAGGGTCAGAGATGAGTGGAGGGGTTGATGCATTAATGCGATTGTTCACGCGGGGTTTAGTGTCTCGGTGGTTGATCTCGAAAGAAACAGGCAGTAAATGTTTGTTTTCTTTACGTGGATTCATGTGCAAAGTGTGGTCTTTGGAAGATTCGTAGGAATGGTGAAAATTAGGTTGAAGTACTGCTGTACTAATCCCATGTTAGAGTTTGCCTGCCGGGTTGGGAATCCCGAAGCTTTATAAGTGTTACTTGGAAACATAGAGATGGATAATTTCAGTGGGTTTATCGGACTAGAAGGGAAGAAACAATGCTGTCGTCACTATCAGCTGCAGTGCATATACGTGAAGACGGACTGGTATTATTTGTTACCATCCTTGCTGGTAGGTTATTTTGTCAGCAAAGTATAAATAGATCTGTTGATAGTGTATCTGCTTGATGTTTAGTATTAAACAATAAATATTATCAGCAGGAAGCAGTAGCATGTTGTCAACCGTCAGTAAGTAACATTGTCCATTCGACTGCTCAGCAGTTCTTTACCTAATTAGATTGACCCTATTATATTTTAATTCTGATAAAAGTGTATCAGTGAATTGAACTGTGAGATTTTCAGGATACCCACTGGCAGCAATTCATCGGTCAATATTTTATAATAAGTCACCTGTTGTACAACATGTTTACTTTGTAGTTGCTGGTGTGTCGCTTTATCTGTTTAACTATGGTACCATTTTTGATTCATTTTAAAGGGCGATGAGAGTTGGAGGAATGAATGTAATTTCAGTTCGGCTTGTTTACTTCTTTTCTCAGTCACTTTCTCCTGGGAACTTTTAAGAGAAACTTTTAGTTGCTTCTTCTTATAAAATTAGTTCTATTTTCCAGGTTTTGCAGTACTTCACAGCATTCTAAGTATATTGTTAGCATACGGGATTGTCACATATTTTCCAGGCCAGAAAGTTTCTATTCTTTTGGCTCATATTGCATTTTTGGTAGCTTTCCATTAAGTTTCAATCCTGAGTTTTTTTTTTTTTCCTTTATCTTTTGATTCACATATCACCAATACAAATTTCAGAATGTTAGAACGATTGTAGTTCAGTCCTTGTAATGACAAAGAACTAGATTATTTTTTGACAAAAGCTTTTCATAAAATTTATTCCAAAAATTTTTTGATCACAGGGACATTTGTTAATTGGCTATAGTTATTCGGAAACAGATAATTATGATATCAACTGGACAACATCGTTTTGTATGATGACTTTACGTTTCATTGGTCTTGTTATGGATGTTTATGATGGGCACAAACCAGTGGTATATTTCTAAAATTTTATAAACTGATGTAATCATTATATGTGTCACGTCACGCTAAAAGTAATGCAAAAATAAAGATTTTCGTCAATTAAACCTTTTTTATTTTCGGACAATATTTTTTCCGTAAAATTGGTTTCAAAAATTCCGTAATACAAATACTTCCCCTTTACTATCTCAAATGTAATTGGTCGCTTCATTCTAAAGAATAATTCAAAGGGACTTATTTCATTTGTTCTTTTTTCTGGGTTTAGTATGCGTTATTTATGGTTATGGTGTTTTTTATTGTCATTTTTGAATTTAATTGCATTAATTAAATATTTTTTCAGAGTGAATTGGAAACATATCAAAAGCAAACAGCAATAAGAAGACCACCCAATCTTTTAGAAATTGCGGCTTTTGGATATTTTTTCTGCGGTACCTTTACTGGACCATTTTTCTCCCTTTCTCGATTCCGATCATTTGTTGCTGGTGAATTTCTTGACAGCAACAAAGAAGTGCGTGCATCAGGGTTAGTTTTTGATCTTTGAATTTAAATACTCTTGGTAGAATCAATGAACCATCTTTTGAATGTGATAACAGTTATTTTAAAATAATACTGTTTAATTTCAGGTTTATGCCGAGCTTGGGACGTTTTGTAGCAGCTTGTTTTTACGTGATTATACATCATTGGGGAACTTTATGGATACCAAATGAATATTTCAACTCTCCCCAATTCTTTGTTAGTATTTCCATTATTTCTTCCTTAGATTTCTCAAACAACCGAACTTTCTCAATCATTAAAAAAAGACGGAGGATTTTGCAACTATTTACATTCTTTCAATTAATTTTTCAATTTAACTGAGGCAATTTGACATAAGATATTATTTGGAACGATTTTTTTTTTTAAAATGTTATCCATGATGTGTTTCAGGCACTTTCATTTCCATGGAAAGTAATTTGGGTTGTATTATGGTTTCGACTTACTATGTGCCGATATGTTTCTGTTTGGCTTTTTACAGTATGTTTTCGGTTATGTGCAATTTATCTGCTATTGACTGCATTCAGGTGTTGTGCAGGTATTGGTGTTAAGATTTCAGTTGTCCTCTATTGGTGCATTTAGCCATGGTCCAAAGGCTTGATGCTTCAAAAGTGATTGTGGAAAAGCAGATATTGTGCATTTCATTTATTAAATATAATTTGCATAGGAAGGAGCAGCAATATTGGCAGGTATTGCTTATAATGGAAAAGATTCAAAAGGTAACGATCGTTGGGATGGCGTTCGTGATATCCATATAATAAGATGGGAATTTGGTTTGGATTTTCAGAGTGTTATTGATAGCTTCAATGTCGGCACAAATACTTTTGCAAAAAAGTGATTTTTGGATTTATTTGTAATCTATAGTAAAGCTTCTGCTTAAATGATTTGTTTAAATTCAGGAACAAGGAAATTTAATCCCATTTTTCTCCTTGTCAGGCGGACTTTGCATCCGGACCAATGGATAATCTCTTACTTGATACTATTTCGTTGAGAATGTACCCAGATTTTGTTTTAGCTATTTATATCGACGACTACAGTGGCTGGGTAGTCAAACCCATAGTCATTTAATAACGCTTATTTACCTCGCGATTTGGCATGGTTATCATCTTGGTTATTTTATCCTTTTTTTCCTGGAATTTGCATGTGTTTTGGCACAAAAGCAAGTAGGTTCCAACATTTCAATGAATTATGTATAGTTGTGATGTGAAAGTAGGAAAGTTCAAATAAAATAAAATTGAAAATTCTGATTCAGTGACTGAAATTTTTCTACTCATTTTTTAATTCTTCTGTGTTATAGTTTTATTTATTGCTGAGTAAATCACCGAAGTTATCACACTACTTAGCACAACCATATATGCTACCACTGAAATTTATTTTTGGTCGTATTGTGATCAATGTTTCGATGGGTGTCGGCTTTCTAACATTTGGTCTTATTAAAACACGATACTGGATAAGGGTTTGTTATGTTTTTCATTCAACTTCGGTTTTTCCGATTTTTTTTAACATGATTAGGCTCATCCGTACTTGTTGAGTCACACCAAATTGTTTTTTGAAATTATCGAAAAGTTCTCCTATAATCTTGCCGTTTTTCCTCAAAGGCTGCTAAGCTCTTTTTTTTTTTTTTTTTTTTTTTCAAAAAACCATGAAATTTAGAAAGTAAAATATCTTAAACGTTCATTTCAGCCACTTCTTTCTCTATATTGTTTCACGCATATATTTTTCATATTCATATGGCCAGTCTTTTATCGATATTTACTCACAATAAGATAAGAAGCAGTAATGAATGTTTACAGTCAAAATTAGTTGCTCATGTGTTTCATGGTAGTTCACAGCGTTGTTGCATTTTGTTTTTGTTTCTTTTTTCCTAGTATTAGTCTTGTTGTAGCTTGTAAAAATTTGCTATGTTTTTGAATTCATCACTTTGCCTTACTTTTCAAAAGCTTAATAATCAAATTCAATTTAGCCGATGTGCTCTCAAAGAAAATTTCAGACGGTAAGTTTATTTTTGTCAAGAACAGGAATCCGTTTTGAATATGAAGCTATCTCCTTTGGAAATGCTGTATTTCATCTTCACTTATTCATGGAAAAATTTGTGGTTGTTTCTTTACAGAGATTTCTATTAATCTTAAAATTGTATCCATTTCTTACATTGCTATGCTCATATTCCATCTATTTCTTCAATTCTTCGATTCAAGAGAGCAGAAAAATGATGACCAATTTTTGAGACTTATCAGTTATAACCAGTTCTATATTGTTATCATTGATACATATGAAATTCTCAATTTGGAAAACAGAGTAAGAGAGGATTGCATAGTTATTAGCAAAGGAAAACTGAATCATTTAATGGGTTGTTGGCTTTCATTCAACAATCTACAACTCTGTTGCGGTGCGATTGTCAGATTTATTAAAAAGAAAAAAAAAAAAAAAAAAAATGACAATCAACAACTGACAACTGTTACATGCTAGACGCTTACTTAATTGGAAAATAGGAGGATCTCGCGCATTCGGGTTTGGATTTTTCAATTAAAAGTTTTATGCTATCCGAGTATTTCATTTTTAAATATGCAGTCTTTAAGTATTTTGGAAAGCTGTTTTCATATCACAGAGATTATTTGCCATAGGCAATGATAATTAATTGATAATCAATAACTGACAATTAATTATTATCATAAAAACAGCATACTTTGTTCCAACACTTGCATTTCTCCTTTCCTTTTAAACTGTATTGTCTAATAAGGAAAATGCAATAAATAAATAAAAATTTGTTCTCTAGTACAGTAATGAGAGCGGCCATTGACAATTATTTATTAAACTGTTTATAAAAAAATTTTAATCTCAAAGTCAACATGTGTTGGGGACATGTACAATTGGTTCGATTCAGTGATTTTTCCAGTAATATCTGATCAGGATAGCTTTTTGATCACAAAGATCATAAATGATAATTTAATGATGCCGTGATGCCTGGAACTCCGTTTTATCTTAAGTTGATTTAACAAATGTGGAAGCTTTTCAAGGAAAAATAGCTGAAGCAGTAAAGAAGTATTATTTTTCTCGGTGGAAAGCAGGTTCATGGTCTACATGTCTTCTCAAAAACCTAAATAGTTGGGTCTGTGGCATTTTGAAGAAGGTCTCTTGTCCAGTTTTCTAATCAGTCACTTCTAATAACTTCACAGGATATAATCAGCTGCAAATATCATTTATGATAAGCCAAACAAAAACTGGTGGTAAAATTTTCATGAATCGATTTTTTAGTACATTTTTTCAAATTGGCCTATATTAGGATGGTACTTGAATCCACGGAAATGTTCTTTTCGGTCAATCCTTCACATGAATTCGTCTGGACAACTGTGAAAGTGATTTTCTCGTAAGAAACCGCCATGTTAAATTTAAATTCCTCTCTAAAATTGTTGACAAACTACTGAAGTGAAGGAAGCACAGAGTCGTGCATATATGATATATGTGTACACAAATGAGATCATAATTGATCGTGACTCTAACAGGTTTACATATTCTAAAGCACTATTTTGTTTCTTCACTGTGCTACTTTGTGAAATGTTATTGACAGTTAAATCACAGCTATGAAGGCACTCTACTGTGTACTGATCTCACTAACTCTACAAAATTTAAGCTCACTATTTCATCATTGATTCATCAGCTGATTGCGTAGCAGAAAGTCCCGCAATTCAGAATTGTATTTTGAAATTATGGGAAAAAAAAAAAAACTTGAAACAAAAAAATTAAATTAGAAAGTTAAATAAATGATTTATTAATATTTGACTTAGCGATCTTTAAAGGAGTATAATGCAAAATAACAACAATATTTAAGCGAACCAATCATTGTTCATTCCTCTAACTTTGACGAATATCGGCAACAGTTATTGATTTCAGAAGTTCAGTGCGGTGATCTAGCAGTCTGAAAAAACATATAGTCTATGTCATTTGAAATTATTCATAACTTTTAATCTTCTCCTAAGTCTTCTCCTCGACACTATGCTTCTATAATTAATTATCTGCATAAATTTTGAGGAAGTGAGGTTAGAGTTAAAGATACTGTCTTTAAAATAAAAAATTTTTTTAAAATAAAAAAGATTTTAAAGTAGTTAAAAATTTGATAACGAATATAGCTAATTGCCGTTTACACTTCCTGCATCACAACTTTTAGACATATCAATGTTCTTCTTTAGTATATATCAGAATTTTGAAACAGATTCGGTATTACTATTGCCCACTTTTATCGTCTCATGAATGCAAAATTAGGAATAATATTTCAGAAAGTTTATTAATTTTCTAACAGAAGTGATAGTGATAACAGTATCAATAACGTAAGTAAAATCTAATAACAGTATTAACGAATAATAATACAATAATGTAATCAATAATGGTATTAAGGATCATAAATAGTTTTTTTAAATAATATTTGACAATTCTTGCATTCCATAATTTGATGGAATTTAAGTTTTTGTCGAAGGTAGTGACTTAGTGAGATTTATATAATAATGAAGAAGAAAAGAAAAGAAAAGTGAAAATTTTCAGTTTTTAAAGTAGGGTTGATCACTTTTAGACTTGTCGTAAAACAACGACTTTTTTAATATTTCTCCGTATGCATTATGTTCGAAATTCAAACTACTTGTAATTATTTTTGGTGTGTTGACACATGAATGCCTGTTAAATTTTGACTATTTTTTAAGTTTAATTTTTAGAAAAAAATAACACAGGTAGCAATAAACGACTTAAAATGTAGTCAGTGTCACACTTGCTGTTGTCGTTGGTTGCCGAATTTGTACATTGTGGTACCTGGTACGTACCATTCAACATCATCTTTCCATTCATCCCAAAAATGTAGATAGTTTTATGAAGAGATATGTGAGTCAACGACCTACATCACATGAATGTCCTGTATTTATGCCTCGTCAGCTAAGAAGAGGATATTTCAATAACTTAAATAATGAGAAAGAATTTTAGGGAAGTATAAGGTCTGAAATAGTTAGTGTAATTTAAGTAAACTGATTTTAAATTATTTTTCTTAGTATCAAAAAAATTGAAATCATTTAAGGCAGGAAAATCTAGTATTAGGATCATAAAGTTGATGCCATGCAGTGTTGGAAAAACATTTGACACAGTTATCTACAATTTCACATAGGCAGCTCATTTGATCAGTTATCACTTTTGCTCGCTTCTTTAATTATATTTTCGATTTATTTGTGGCTGTTCAGAATTTTTAGAAAATTTTTTGAAAAAGATTTAACACAAATAACAGCTGAGAGAGTACTAATAGAGCAAACAATTAACTTCTCAATTATGTTAAAGACCAATTGATAATATATTGTATTAGTCCATCACGTATTTCGCAGTTTCTAAGAAATTGTAGTCATTTGTATTCCAAGTCACGAATTATGAAACGTTGTTTTCAAGTAATTTATTATCTAATTGTCTGGCAATACATTGCCATAAAATTAGATAATTTCAAAATATGTAACACGAATCATCCATCCATCTTTATTAAATAAGCTGTGAATTTATGTCAAAAACAATTAAAAAAGAAATTATTTCAAAAAAAAAAAAAGACGAAAAAATTTGGCGACGGTTTTTAGAGCAATAAATTGCAAATGCCAACAACTAAATTGGCATCTTGAATCTTACAAGTAGTACTTATTATTTATTTTTATGGTATAATTAGGATAGCGGATTAGGAACGAAATACGAAAATTTCAGTATATTTTCTGCGTTTAGAGTAATAATAATTAAAATTTTTGTTCACAAACAAATAAAGTTGAAAGTTCACGTTGATTACCTATTCATTGTTGCTATTCTCAACGTTGTCGTTTTAGCTATAATTTCTGATTATTTACATCATTGCCAACCAAAATGATTTATTCTGTTTCCAGAAAAATCCTTTTTAGCTATCTGACTTCTCGTCATCTGCTGTTCCTATCATTTTGAAGGAATTATCAAGGATCTTTCATCAAGCACAATGACTCATAATCCTTCATTCCTCTTTTACAAACTTGGCAAAAAATTTTTAAAAAGTAAAATTTTCTGAAAAGTAATGAAATATTTAATTGTTGTTATTATTGAATTTTATGCTCAAATAAGGAAAGAGGAATGAATTTAAATTAGATAGGTATTTTATTCATTTCTTTTATTACTTATCATTCATAATACACAGCCATTACTGTCATTGTTATTTCATAGGAACAAATTGGAACATGAAGGCGAAGAGATAAGATCGCAAATGATCGCTATTTTGTTTGATATTATTGCATATCGTTATCCTAAGTTTGCGTTTATATTTTCCTTTATATTGCGATTTTTGTTTTATTAATTCAAATTGTACTTTTTTTTCGTAATTATGAATTAAAATAACCATAAGTTATTACCGTACTGTCCTTCAAGCTATTCATCATTTCTTATCTTTTATAGATTTTTGCCTTGACCAATTTTCCCACCTGCAAATTACTTTCCACTTTTAACTCAGTTCATTTTAACATTTTCTATAATGTTTTCTTTTGTAATTATGAATTAAAATAACCATAAGTTATTAATAGCTATCAGTAGATGGTTTTCTGTTTCCTATTCAATTTATGTTTAAAATTGATCAGTGTTTTGCAAGGCATTTATTTTCATTATGGACTTAGTTAACACATAATGCTATCTACTTCCTGTATTAACTGGAAATATAATTTATAATTGACAAGGAAAGATGAGCATCGATACGAGAGGTGTGTCCTGCATACTGGGTCATTTGTTGTTTATTGATGGATAATGGACAGTGGATGCAGAGGACGATAGTGACCAACTAGCCCACTCCATTAGTGTTTTGATATCCAAAGCAGTTCGTTTTGATTTGCTCAATCATACTTCCATATCCGGCAACCGGATTCAGTTGAGGTTGAAATAGACTTCCATAATAGTAGGCAATATACAAAGAACCACATAGTTGCTACTATGAATGTAATCATTTCGATTCATCGGCTTTAATCCAATGTGTCAGTAAAGTGGATCATTCCGAGAAGTGTTTTGATAGTCAAAAATTTTAGTTATACTTTTATTTATTTTATATTCCTTTTGCATGAACTCTTCCAATCACAGTGTACTATAATAACATTAAACATATGGTACAGAGAATTCTCGTATTACCTTTCTTTTGATACTTTTCATAACTTTCTACGTAATTCAATGACTTACTTTTTTCTGACATTTCAAAGTATCAGTATTTTTACAGTATTATATGACACGATTATATCATTCTCTCTATAATTTTGATGTACATCTGTAATCTATCTTTCATTTTACAGAGAATAGAAAAAAATATGATAATTTGATCTTTTCAAATATCTCATCTGTCTCCAAAATGAAGATTAATAAATAAACATAATTTTGATTAGAGTTAGTGTACTGATAGAACAGATAATGTTAATGTATAGATAATGTAATAATGTTTGTAATGAACAAATAATCTAATGTTTAGAAAAGAATATAGCATTCGTTAATAAGAAATAACTTATGCAAGTAAAAGATCATATGAAATGGGACAAAAAAGGAGGAAGAATAAAAATAATGAGATTAATTCTTTGGAAAAATTAAATCGTTTAGAGGAAGTTAGTAACAATTTATATGATGATATTCGTTCGAGAAAAATATTTCCTCACTTTTCAGAAGAAATAAATTTAAAGTGAGAAAGATTTTTTTGAATACCGTTCAATGTTTGTTTAAACGCCAAATAATATTAGTAAACTTTCATCAGTCTTCATCATAACATCGAATCAATTTTTCCACATACCATTACCAAAATATTAAGAAATATTTGTTCCTAAATTCATATTTTTAAAAATCTTAAGATTATCCAAATAAATTTTTGTGCATTTAAAGGAAATATTTGATTTTAATTTCTCTTAAAGCTTATCCCTAATTTCAAACAATTTCATATTAATTTCTTAACTTTCCGCTACAGGAATAATAACCAGAAATTTAATGATTGCAACTTTCTTCTTTGGCATCATCGAAGAACCACCGTATACATATTAGCTATATAATAATTAAAGTTTTTAAGTTAAATTAGTGTAGTTATTGGATGCAGGTATTCAGTACAATGCTTCTGCTGATCATAAGGAATTTTTGTGGAAGGCAATAACACTAATTTCAACAAGAAGTTCACATCAAATCATTTATCCACTTTAATTAGCATTACGCTTCCTTATTAGTTCGTTTTACTGGAAACAATTTTCGCACATCTTTTGTTTGTTGAAATTTCTGATGTTTACTTAATAGTACATAATGTTATCAAGAATTATTTTTTTATTACCTTCCAAAAAATAATTTTACATCAAAAAATGAAAAAATTTTTTCAGAAATAACTCTTTAAATTTCAACATTATTGCGCCAACATTTCTTTCCTTATAGTCATTTAAAAATCCTAAAATTCATTAAATTTCAGCATTTCGACATCATTTGTAGAAATAAACTATTAATATTTCTTGTCATTTCTATGATAAAATAAAAATTGCTTTGGTGTTTGACATCGAATTACGTTACTCTTTTAATAGGCTATCAAAAAAGAGACAGTACTGTTTTTTCATTGATTTGGTCATACCGATTCGAAAGCTAAAAATATGTATTACTTCTAGCACATGTTTAGTGGCCTAAAATATTTTTTCACGCAACAATATTCAGAACGAAATTCCCTTAAAACAGACTGTGCGTATTTTGGTATTTTAAAAAATAATTTATGTCTGAATGTTTGATAATTTCACTGTGTTTCTATGAAAAAGCTATCGTTTTCTGCTCCCATTCTCTTGCAGCTTTTATTCTCGCTGAAACTAACTATTCATTTTTGTTGAAACTGCGCCTCCTTTTACTTTCTCCGAACCTTTGATGATTATTAATTCAGCAAACAAATGTGAGCACCGAATTGTTGGGAATGTGTTACAAGAAGATGGGCAACTTACCATCACCCAACTCTCTGTGAAGATTGTTTTGTATTTAAACACCCATCATCTACCTACCTGTACACTGATTTAACTTCCTTTTTATACTCTCTCTCTCTTCCTCCCTTTCTATAAAGTTATTTATTTATACACAATTTGCCACTAATTCGATTATGGGCTTATTTAAGTCGGTTACCTTTGAATTTATGAGTTTACAAATAATGATTTCTTTAAGAGAAGGACTATAGTTCAATACCACTGATAACTAGTGGTCATCTAATGGTCCATTGTGACTTGTCTACCTGTTATGATTATAATTGTGAGGCGAAGCAAACACAAAAAGACGACGGACAACAATATTCAGGAATATTCCAACAATATTCCAGTTGTCTTTAAAAAAAATAACAAAAACATTTTATTATCTTTAGGACAGAGTAATAAAAAATTCATAAAATTTCCAATTCCTCACAATATCTTTGGTTCTAAATTATTTGTTTGTTACCTGTGTTTGTTCCAGAAACTACAATTTTCCATTGCTATTTATTTTCTCATGATATTACTATTTTGATAGTAATGAGGTATCCTTCAAAATAATGCACATGTAGAGCTCAGATTTGTTCATTCATAAATAATTACTGCAAAACGTCTTTGGCTATTTTACAAGAATCATTTAAGGATTAAACAGAAATGGATCATAGATGCAACCTAAGAATTCCCATATTCTTCTCTATCAAAGGTAAAGATCGGACGGACGACATTTGGGTCAGAATCACAAAGCGTTTATTGTAAATTATAATAAATTTTAAACATTCTTTATGTGTTTCGAGCAGAATCAAAGCACTCTAACAGTGCATAACAATAGTAAAGTGCAGGAATTTTCTTTCCATTCTGAGTCACTACTCAATTTTTTCGTTCCTTCCACTGTCCCAACAAAAGAACAAACAAATTCATATTAATTTCATCCATAAATATGACAAAGTCAAAGATTGCTTAGTTTCAGTTCAAAACTACTCCTTCGAAAATTTTGAAAAAATCTCTCAAAAAATTAAAGTTCTCATTTCTTTTATAAAAAATAAAATTCTTTAGCACATATTATTCACTGACAAAAAAGAAAAAGAATTACTGGATTTATTATAAAATTTCGATCCCGAATTGAGCTATCTTATCAAAAAAAAAAAAAAAAAAAAACTGAACATTGGCGCTGAGAATGAAAAATCAAGACATTTCCCATTACTGACTTTTTAATAATAAACAAAAAGAACATGCGTTAACAATTAAAATCAAAATATAACTGTTTAGAAAAGTTTAAATATCTCTGTTTTTCTTGATATGATGATATCATTATCGAGATAACGAAATGTTTTGTCAACAGCGTTACCAGAAATCCTTTAGCTGTCATTGTTATCATTATATAGACCCTATCATTAGCATATCATCACTTCTGCAAAACATCAATATTTTTGCAATTATCCAAACCTATGCGAAATTATCATCATCATCATTTATCACTGGACTGAGTCTTTCATCTGAACAATGCTATATTTCGCATCCTTCCCATGTATGAACCTTTTCATTATTTCATCCATTAGTGGAAATGATTAATGTTTTAGTGAATTTCGGCATCATTTGAATTTCGAAAAATTTTTATTTCAAAGAAAAAAGTTTTTTTTTTGAAAAACTAATAAGTAATTTCCATTTCTTCCGTTCATTGTGCTGAAAAGGCAACAGTCAACAAATAAATATTGCATATTAGTTACTGAACCAAGAAAAAAACACGTCGTATAGAAATGTCGCAACTATCTTTTTTCAGACAAATACCAAGGACAACAACTGAAGACATAATGTCCTCTTTTTTGTTCGAGAAAATGGATGTATTTTGATTTCAGACCATCTGAATGCCTATACGACCTGATAGAGTATTTTTTTTAGATTTCTCAGAAAAAAAAGGACATTATTGCACTGAGAAGGTATTAGATGGATTAATAATTAACCCATTTAATTAGAGCATCTTATGTTTTATTAGTTCACGAAGTGCTTATGTGACAATTACATTTTTCGACCTCAATTATTCTTGATTAGTTACGTTTTTGAAAAATAATGTTGTTTTAGGATTTATACATGCGGAAATGCATTCTTCAGGAATCCTACTTCTCATCCTTGTCTGACATATTTCGTCCGTTATAATTATATCTCAGAGTTAGAAATTAGAGCAAGAGTATTTAAAATCATAAAATTGTAGCAGTAGACAAGTTGTCACAAACCTAAATAAGGATAACTTTTGTAACTTTCATAAATTGAGTTCAAGTAAAATTTTGTTTGTCGAATATTTCGCAAATTGCGGGATTTTTTCAACTCATTTCCTTTGAGATAACCTAAAAAGAAGATAATCGCTTATTTTAATTTTATCACTGTGCAATAGTACAAAGTAAACTTTCAGCTGTATCGAAATCGTCCTCCACTTAAGCATATCTGTCCTCTTTTTAGGAATTTTTCGAATTATTCTTTTCGGTATTTTGCATGGAATTCAATCTTCAACAAAATATATGCTACCTCGCTTGTTCACATTTTAATTGTAGTTGCAGTATCGCCATAAATCATCAGTACTCGTTGAATTGTTGAAATATAGTGTTGCAATTATTTATTCTTGCAATTCATTTCAGAAAGTTAAGAAAAAATTGAGTTAAATTGTAAAACAAACAAGTAAACAATTTTTTAAAGAGAAAGAAGGTAACAACAATTATGATATGAGTAGTACTGTACTAACTTGACGATGAATCACTGATTCGATCGGCAGAGAAACTGTCATTCCCTTCTCCACCAAAACTAAAATCCTGCCAATAATTCTTTATTGTCACCAATGCATACAGAATGATGGTGAAATATGATGAGATGAAACAATGAATAAATACCGATCAGTTCCTGGCAAAGGATTAGATCGTTGGCATCATTGTGGAATGGAGAATGATCGATAAGTAGGGGTGAAAGGTCTGGAAGTGGAGAGTACAGCTGGGATGACAGTGAATTAGGAGGATGAAGAAGAGGAGCGGAAACTAGTTTTTTCACCGCTCCACGTCCCTCCACTTCATCGCCTCTTCTTTCACCTCAAAACACGAAAACTGTTTTGCTGTGCTGTGTATTTGTTTGGATAATATACTTTAGTATGATTGATTCTTTTTCATATCTGGCCTTAAGGTTGACTTTGATTATGGCTCTCATTAATGGAACAAGTAACAAGTAATAAGGAGGATAGTGATTCCAAGAGTGAAAAGATTGAATTCTTAATGATTGAACGCTTCTGTTCTGGAATCACCAACGCTCATCTGTCATCCGATGCACTACATCTGTCGAGTGATGATGACATAATTTTCTTTCGCCAGTCATGTGCGACGACTGGGAAAGTCTTTTTAATTCATTTAGTACATTTCTGGTTATGATTACCAGCTTTATTTGATTTGAGTGACAAATAAATGAAGAATTCGTGGAAGAACGAAAAGCAATAAGTAATGAGGTATAAAAGTTGAATGATGACAAATTAAACGGCTCGGTTTCTTCGGCTAATTATTCGGTAATACATAATCATAATGATATTTACAATCGCATAATTCTGTTGAATGTCTTACCACTTATCATCACGAGTATTTCACATGTTTCCTTACAGTTTTATCTTTTCGTATTATGTTTTATAACCCCGATGACCTGCATATTAAGGATGTGGCAGATATATCTTACAGTGGAGAATATCTGCACTCACTTTTAGACCGCGCATCTTTTGTGTTCTATGTTGTTGTGCATGGCTCGAATTCGGCAACTTTTTAAAATGTGTTTCCATTTGCACTTAGAAAATAACGGAATTGCTTATATCTAACCTAATTTAATAAATTATTTTTTGATTCTGCTTTCTAGATAAATTTTCTAGAATGTTTTCAAATTGATGGTCGTCTACTTAGATTATTCAAATTTAAGTTTAAAATTTGATTCAGTCATTGAAAACATACTCACCAGGTTTTATGCCATTCAAACAAGTATTGCAATAATTTTCTAAACCTTTGAGATTACACAACTTTTAATCTCTCCTGCAAATTTGAATTCTGGTATACTTTTATAACGATCTTAAAATAAGAGAAATTTGGCGTTTCTTGTTTTCTAGCTTTGTTTTCCATTTCCGAGTTATTAATCAGATTAATTACGCGCCTCTTCGAGGGACAGAAACAAGTGAATTTCGTCTTACTGGATTTGCAGGCACGAAAAATGAAAATATTTACAGTTGGTATGGACGAAAAACCACCGATCAAAGATCCAGTATCTTCCGATGGAGTTACCGTGGCTTCAACACCCATTATTACACTGGAAAAGAAGCGAACTTCATATAAAGTGAGCGATTTCATGAGATTTTATAGGAACCTTCAGATGCATTGATATGCGAGATGTTTGTGATTGAGAAGAAGTAAAGGGTAAAGTGTGGAAATAATTTTGTATAAATAGAAAGATGAAAGTGGTATTGGAAAAATAGGTTAATCTCAATAAGTGCCAGAAACATTTGTTTAATACTGTATGTAATGATTTGTGCCTTTTCGATTATTTATCCATTTTATCTGTGCTTCTCAAGAAAAAATTTTCCTTTGAATTCAATCATTTGCATTCCTGCAAAACAGACGGAATGTAGCACAACACATTACATTATTTTGCTAAGATCATGAGATATAAGTCATTTTATTACGGTCACAGGATGTGAAGGTCATTTTACAGCATTATGCGGTCATTCAGGGAACGAGTTCCTATGTGACAATAAAAAAAATCTAACTCGAGAACTATAATGCGAGATAAAAAGAAAGAGATCTAAAATAAGCTCACTAGATTTAGACTTGTTGTTTCACAATTGTTTTAAAAGCTGGAACTGTTAAAATATCCTTTTATTAATTAATTAATTTCCATGTTAATTCTCATTGATAATATTTGAAACTTAAACGAGAAATTTTAGAATTATGTGATGTGTTTGGGAATGCTGTTCTTTATCTTTTTGTTTGCAATTATCGTCAGCAAATTGGTGTACTATAGAATACCTGATGATTTGGGACTACCATGGTAATTTTTCTTTCTCTTATTATGCACAATGAGGAATATATCAAAAGCAATCGTAATAGATTTCTAGAAATTAAAGGAAAAGACTAATATCTGATATTCTTTCCTTGGTATTAATGAACTAAAGACATTTTTGTCGTTTAAAAACCGCTTAAGGATTATTTTTGGAAGTTTGAAATCAGATTTCCGATATTTTAGAAACATATAATATCAAACTAAACCTTTTGAAAATTCACTTCATTTGATAATTTACAAGAATTATTAATAGTTGTAATTGAAAAAAAAAGACTTTCACTTTAGTATTTACTTAAATTACTTTTATCTTCATACTCCAAGTTTTTTATCTCATTCCTAACTGAAATTCTTTCGTCTCGAGAAATTTTTAAATTTAGGTTTGAATTGAAACATCGAATAGGAATGGGATGCGACGACTGTATGAGTGCTCGTATAATTCAATCATTTTATCCACAGCGGTAACGGTTTTATAAAATAGAGTAATATAATGCCATGCCATCATACAAAAAATTAGAGAGATCTGTGAATGATCTCAATGCTGAAAAATTTTACAAACAATAAATGGTTCCTTCCACATATTTTTTTGACATTATTGCTATAGAAATATAAAATAATACAATTTATGAATTTAATAAATAGGTTTATTCAAGTCAATCAAAAAATGTCCAACTTAAACGCTCTGGGAGGTCAGGCGAGTAAGATCAAGCGCATAGCAAATGTAGTAAGGTACAGTTTTCGTTTTGTAGATCTTCAAGATTTTTTGAAAGTTCAAACAGTGCAGCACCACCAGTGGCACTAGCAATGCAGGCAGAACAATCTCAAACAAACAGACAGGTGGCACCCACCACATTAACATCACAGCGTCTGGAGTTGGGCTCATCAGCTACACAAATTGTCGTAAGTTCTTTTTTTTTTTTTTTTTGGGAAGTCAGACAAGTAAAACCAAGCGCGTTTCGCTTTTTCATCTTAATTATAAGAACAGAAAATGTCACGAAATATGCCGTGATTCCTGACCGGCTTGACTTTTGCTACTAATATTGCACAATTATGAAAAGAGAGCCTTAGGCTTACAGTGCAAAGTGTACCGTTCAATTCACTGCGAAACTGCATGTGATTATTGGCACCTATTATCGACTTCAACAAGTTTATCTCCCCAGTACGACAGTCGCTAGAAATGACAAAATATCGTTGAGAGATCAACAAGAATGATAATTTAGAAATTTATCAGATACAGTATTTAGGATTCTCGTCTTGACTTCTTGCGCAAAATTATTCCAAAAATCAAGGAACAAGCCGAAAAATCTGGCATTGAAGGCGTCATGCAGGTGAAGATGCTGCAAATGGATTCCTTCGAACCGAAACAGGTGGATGTTAATTACACTTCCGTTTCACATTTGATTTAAGATGTAATTAAAACTTCATATGAACTTAACTAAGGAATTTAAATTACTGAAACCGTTTAGGTAAAGCCATTACAGTTACTCGACGGATTAGAAGAAAGTCAACTCCAGCCAGTAATTAACGCACCGCAACTAATTGATTTTATGACACCTATCCGTTCAATTCTGTTGTCTGACCTCTTACGCTTGAATACGGGTGACAACGATGAAAGGTAGGGATGAAGACTTTAAACTAAATACTATTTTAGTAATGTGAAATGAAGCCGTATCTAAAATTATTTTATCCTACGTAGTGAATAATAACAATAAAAGAGTAATAATTAATAATAGTAACAATAGTAATAATAAATAAGAATGTTGAAGTTTTAGAAGCACTAAATTAAAGCCAGTGAAAATTAAAGCTTGATATTTTTCAGCCAGGCTTCAGGAATTCAATTTTTTGGATCGCAGCAGGATGATACGGTTAAGGGTGGACCGATGCTTATACTAGGACCATTTTTGCAACCACAGCAGTTACAGCTGTTACCTACTGTTTGGGATAATAACAATAATATAGCTTGGAGCAATTCATTGCAACCTCATCTGTTTGACTTGGCCCAGCAAATGAGCAAACAACAACGCTGGATTAATTGGCAGTGGCCTGTTCCTCCCTATCACAAAAATAGTAACGAAAAAGTTGCTCAATGGCAGAGTGTTCAATGGTTAAACGATCATATGTCCATCACACCTGTAGTGCGACAGAATTCTTTGCCCGCATGGGAAAGTACTTCTAACCAGTGGCAGGATAATGCTCATATGGCAGGTAAATGGCAAAGTAGTATTCAGAGTGGAGCAGGCAGTCAGTGGGCGCAAGGAGGATGGCAAGGACAAGGACAAGGAGAGCAGCAGCTTTGGTCTCAGTATCCTCAAACTTGGCTACCAAGCATGAATCAGAACCAATATCAGAACAATAATGATTGGAATATTCAGAGAGTAACTCATTCCTAACATTCATGAATAATTGCCTTATAAGACTTTAGGTAGCATAAACAAAAATTGAGCATTCAGAGTGAATGAATTAATGAAATTGTTACTTTCTAATAAATTTACTATTTAAAATTTTCTGAACCACGCGTTTATGTCTCTTATGGATGACGCAATAGTAATAGTAATTGATTTTTTCTTTGAAATGGTTTCAACAGTCCTTTCCAACCGTACACTAAGCAGGTAGTCCAGACAAGTCATTCATTGATTGTCTCATCTAATAGGTGGCAGTTATATAACTATCATCTAGGAAATTACTGATGCTGCGATATTTCTTGTAATTAAAACTTAAACGAAATGTTTTTAAACATATTTTTAGGCATATGGAAAACACTTTCACTATTTTTTTTTTTCAAATTGTATGTAAATATTGGTAGAGAAAGAGAAAAGAAAGAAGAATGGTAGCAAATGACAGATTGTTTTTCAGACGAATATAATAGATAATTTGGATGGACGAATGACTCAGGCTGTTTTACCAAGTGATAGCGCTAACAGTTATGTTTACAATAACAATGCAAATGATCAGTGGATGCGATACTTCAATCAGTGGTACATCAATAACCAGCGCTTACAGCATCAGCCGATTGCAAATACTGTTGTTAGCCAATCAGTTGAAGTGACAGGACCTGTGCTGCCACAACACACCGAAGATCAAATTCTTAATCAGCAGCAATCTGGGGTACCTGTTTCTTAGTTCTGTTTAAGGTCAAGAAATTGTAACAATTACCTTTTGAAATTATTTAAGCGCTTGCAAGAATTGCACGGAATCTTAGCTTCTTGTTCTGTAGATAACGGATTCGCTGCAAAGTCAAACGGTTCAACAACATCAAGTTAAACCTCTGCCCCAAACTCAGCAACAGAAGCAAGAACCACAAATGATGCAGCAATTTCTTAATAAGCCGGTAAATATTGTTTAACGATATTCCATCTCACAACTTTTACGAGACGAAACTTTTCAGCAAAATCTAAATATACCAATTTTTTGCAGTGCAACAGGTGATAGTTACCCTAGGCACTTGTATCGAAATCCCAGGTAGTATTGTTTATTTGAATTCCTTTACTTAACGATGAATTTTCTTCAATGTTGATCGGCACAGACGAATAGTTGTGAAAAGACTTTGCTGAATGACGTTATAAGACAAATATTAGCGAATATCGTGTAGAGGTGAACAAAAGAATCAATATCTGAAGATGATGATGAAGAAACGACGATGAGTAATAAACAGTAACCGAACTCAGCTCCTTTTGTATAGTGGAAGATTGTTTCCAGAGGATCTCTTACAAATAAATTGACTTATGCAGTCAAACACAAAGATTCCTTTACAGTATGTCGAATATTGTTCATAAACTTGATTATCGACTCTAAGGTTCTTTACAAATTGAGTTCATTTGGGTTGTCTTTACAACATGAGTTGATCTTTAATATGAGGTGATTTACAACAGATTTACATAACAACGTATTTCTGAAAAGAATATTTCGGTCAGTAAGTAATGGTACAACACTGATACTGAGGAGGCACTGTCGATTATCACATATAGTAATAGCATAAAGGTTGGTGAAGAGGTTTTTATCTATTGGTGAAGAAGGGTTTACTGTATAACAACTGTTGATGAGTGCAAGTGCTGATCTTATGTTTATTTCCAGAATGATAACCAAGAGCAGTCTCATTTATTGCATCAAGAACGACTACAACTACCGATGCATCGCATTGAGACTGGCTTAAGTGGTGGTAGTAATGGTTTGACAATGATTGATGATGACCTGAATAAGGAAACGGTTATGGAGGTTTGCAGAACATTTCTAAATAAAAGAACTGGGTTAACACTGCGAAGAGTGATAGATTCATAATGGAATTGGAAATTTGGCTCAATATTAGTAGCAGAGAAATGAATTACCCATTTTAAAATCAAAATTTATCCTTTTTAAAAAAATAGCCTTTTTAAAATCCTTTCTGTGTTGCTAATTTCCCATTTCGGAAGATATTTCAGCAGTCGGGACCAATGAATGATATCAATCTCGCATTATCAAATCCAATGCTATTTCAAGTTGATGATCCTCCGCCACAGTCTGCTAGTGTGGATGAAAGTTTCACTAAATAAATACATAAATATTAGCAATAACCGAGAAGGGCGAATGGCCCGATGAAATATTACTCTTTTACATTTTATTATTTTCAATTCTTTTTCCACGATTTTGCTAAATTATCATTTCGTTCAAAATAAATTCACTTGCTCTGATTTTGTGGTCGGCGAACAGCTAACTGTGAAGTCTTTCATTCCTAGTTAGAAGTACCATAGCATATTACTAAGCTTACTTTAGAGAGTATTTCTGAGCACTATAATTCTCAGCGTTCTTTTATGGAGTTGTCGTATTATATATTGTGCATGTCGAGGTTATCTTGAATGATTTTTGTTTTACTCTCCTCTCATTACTTCTCATTACTCTATTGCAGTCTTTCTATTTCGACAAAAAGTCTTCAAAGCTTGTTTTCCTCTTAAGTCTGTGGAAAGGCTCATTTGCAAGTACAGAATTAAACAAAAATAATCCATGATAACTCTCTGAGTTTCATTCTGCCCTTCTGTTCCAGTAAATCCCATATAAATGAATTATTTCCAATTACAAATTAATTTTTCTCCTCAATTTATTAATTTCTTTCATTTTAAGGCAAATCTATATGTCCAGCGGTGAAAACTTCATATGTCTTGTTCATTCCAAATATAATTCCTATTAATAATAACGGACGGTCACTGTGCAATTTTCCTTTTATTTGAAAGGTCATCCGAAAGCAAGACAATTTCGAGATGTGACATATAAGACATATATTATTAAGTAATAAGAACTTATTAAAGTAATAAGAACTACTGCAGCTCAGTGACTTATATAGTCTCAAATTCAAATTAACGCAGTAAAAGTAATACTTATCAAAGTCAAATAAATAAGTACACTCTCAATCAAACTCAAGTAAAACGATGTTTCCCGTAAAAGGAATTCAAATAAACCGCTGGAAAAAGTGGAAGGCCATTAAAGTGCACAATACGTCTACGAGGAGTATACATTTCTGTTGTATGAAAATTCCCTTTTAAGCAATATTTCATCAGTTAGCTGATGATGACAAGTAGTGCAGGCCATAACGTTTTGAAGAAAGTCACAAATTTGAAATAATATCAGCAATATAAAAGTATCATTTATGTGGAAGTAAATTTTAAGAGACAATTTGAGCATCACATGCCATGGAGAAAAAGATTGAAGAGCGACTGGCGAGTAAATTCTGTGGTGAATCAAATTCTCGAATTAAGCCATTTTCAAGGACTATTATTCTGAAAGAAGAAAAACATACTGATTGTAAGATGGAATTTGTGTATTTGATACTTTTCGCCACTACTAAAAAGCTTTTTAAAAGACTTTATGAGAAGCAAAAATTACAAAAGCAGAATATAGAACGTGAGAGATCAGGGCAAAAAATAAATAATAATGACAAAACTTTAGATCTTTACTTATTTGTTCAATTACCTGTCGCAATCGATTATGGTATTCAAACGATGTGCAATGGTTAGAACAGTTGAGCTATGGAATTCACGACGAACTGTTTCCTGAATTAATAAATCAGTTGCTAAATCTACAGCAGCTGTAGCTTCATCTAAGATTATGACTTTGCTCTTGCGAAGAAGTGCACGAGTCAAACAAATGAGTTGTCGTTGTCCAATACTAATATTCTCGCCTCCCTCGCTGATCTGATACTGCAAACCTGCAAAGCAAGTTTAATATGAATAAGATAACTGGGAAAGGTATGTATCTTTCAAAATATAATGAAGTTCTGAACTACAAGTATTTCTCATAAGTTTTAAAGTAAGTAAATTTTGGGAAAATTTAAAACTAACTAAAACAATGCTTTCAAATATTTTCTTTCAAAGATGAAAATTTTCAGATAATTCATTACATTTTTCCAGCATTGCATAAAAACGATTAAGAAGTAAAATGAACGAACCATTTTTAATCTCACAAACTCACTATTAATATAAATATTATTTTACGGACTAATAAATGTTATCGCAAAATTTTTAATAACTAGCCTCCAGGAAGACTTGATACAAATGTTTTCAAATGAGCCAACTCCAAAGATGCCCATATTTCCTGATCAGAATAGACCTGAGATGGATCCAAATTAAATCGGAGTGTTTCCGAAAATAGGACGGGATCCTGAAACTATGACTTGTATAGTGGAGCAGCAGAAGTTAAATTCATTTAAAGAAATCACAAAAACAAATTGTTTTTTTATGAAAAGGTCAAAATAAATAAGCTATGATAATTTCACTTAGTGAAATTACCTCGTAACTTTTACTCAACTTTCAATTCTTGAAAAGATAATGACCTGTGGAATGATTGTAAGATTCGAGCGAAGGTCATGCAAGCCTATAAGTGAAATATCGACGCCATCAATAATAATTGCACCTTGGATGGGTTCAATAATTCGGAACAATGCTAATGTTAAGGAACTTTTACCTAAACTTTAAGATTACAAGGAATTAATTTTATGTGCAGAATGTGAATACATTAGATAGACCAAGTGAATTGGAAAAAATTGTTAAATTTATATGGAAGGCATGCCTGCGCCTGTACGACCAACAACGCCAATTTTTTCAGCTGGCGCAATGGAAGCATTCAACTGACGTAAAACCAAATCAAGGTTGGGATTATACTGCGTTGAATAGTTTTTTAATAATATCTGTCCTTTTGAAGGCCAATCTTTCTCTGGCTTGAAGTGATCGACTCTCCATTCTGCCTAAAAATTTTCTCAATATTTGCAAAGTTACAAAAACACATACAATATCTTAAAGCATGAAAAAGCTATATTAATATATTAGCTATATTTTAAAGTAGTATATGTACATAGCTTATTTTAAAGCTATGTTAATTCAAATTAGAAATTAAACAATAACAGAAAATTCTTCGATAAATGCAAACTTCGGTTGCTATCTCGGCATATTCTTTTATGCGTTCAACAGCTACTATATTCATTTCCAATTCACTGATATATCGTACAGCAAAATTTAGCGCTTCCGTAATCTGCAATGAATGCACTATGGAATGCAATGTTATGACAGACAGTACTAATTGTCGTTTAAAGATTCGTAGGAATTTCTTCGACAAAGTATACAAATTATTGCATTGTTAGCGATGTTTTTCATTTTAAAATTGGAAAAGTGTCGGATTTCAAAATAATAAAAATTAATGCTAACCTTTAAATGTATTAATGAAATATGTTTTAGTTAAAAAAAAAGCTTTACATTTAGAGCGTAGCTAACACTAAGTCCTGCAATTCCGGCACTCAATGCAGCTCCCCAATGCTGCGAGAGAACTGCAAACAACGCTGCACAAAGTACGACACAATTCCCGATAAACTCCAATCGTACTGCTAACCAGCGATTCGATAAAATATTAGAATATTTACAACGCATGAAACAATCAATGTGTGTTTCCATTAACTTGCAGAATTCTTGCACCTGTACTGTATTAGTGATCGTATATGGAAGCAGTTCAAAACAATCTTAATAGCGATTATGTCAAAACTAATTTCAAAAGTCAAAAAAAGAGCTAAGTGAGAAGTGAATCATCAAATTAGACATCAAAATCAAAGACAGTACTGTTGACAAAAATCAAAGCAACGTCATCAAATCGCATATTAAATAACTAATACCATAAATATAATCTTATCTTCATAAAAATATAGTAACAAAGAAAAACAACACGAAAAAGTTAAGTGAGGATAATGTTCTAATTAGAGTATGATGCTACAAGAAATAAATCTTAAGAAAAAAAATCCAATAATATCATAGATAAATTAGCATAATCGATCAATCGATTCACAAAAGCAATGGAAGTGGACAGTCAGTAATGAAGATGAATGGAAGCAATCCTGAAAAACCTTACTGATGATTATTCTAATCCTTTGATTTTAATTACACAAATATATTCTTTACCTTACCTTTTCAAAAGCTCTTATATACATAAGTCCACGAACTGTTTTTTCGAAATGTTGATAAATTGGCGAACGATTGATACTTTCTAATCGTTTCATCTGCCGCGAAGTTGGAAGGTAGAAATGCTGTAAGTGCTGGTAATTAAATTGAAATTGTCAGGAATTTTTATTCAAAAGATTACTACCAAAGTAAATGTCTGTGAGAATATAATAAATTACCAGAGAAAAATAATAGAAAAGTGCAAGAGGTATAATAGTAACGACAAAAATAGGTGTCGATATAATTATTATAATTAATATGGTCGTAACGTTTTCAATGCAGTAAATGAAGTAGCGAAAACTTATTGGCAGTGACTGATCAATCACATCGATATCCTGCAGAAAATTGAAAGCTAAAAAGAAAGTGACAGATTAACTTTAGTTATTTAGATCTTCCATCTCTGACTGTTATGGAAATCGTCTTGAATTTCTCAGATATAACTTTTTTCTTTGGAAAATAATAGTGAGAGAACAAATATTGAAAAAAAAAAAATGATGGGAAAAAACTATACAAAACTATGACAATTTAATCTCAATGAAATTCATCCAATTTCTGTCATACCCGACCAATCAAAGAAAAAGACAAGTCCGATTAATAAATTTGACTCAAACCTGGCGGCAACATAAAATGAAGTTTAAAAGGAAGTGAACCTTGCCAAGCCTATTTAAAATACGTCCGATAGGTGTTGTATCAAAGAATGACATTGATGAACGCAACAAACGGTGTAATAAAGGAGTATGGAGATTTTCTGATGCTCGAAGGCCGCTTATCACCAAAAATACCACCGCACCAAAGAAACATAAGCCTTGGAAAAGCATATAATTAGTGTTTGATTTCATCATCAACAAATCCCAATAAATAAAGCACTCATGCTAAACTGCGCTAAATCACCGTTTTTATGGATAAACTCGATGGATCTGTTTTCTCCACCATAATAGAGTGAATTGTCTTCTTTTATTATTCTTCTAGTTTATTTTCGATTAAAAAAGTAAATGTTAGTAGCTGTGAAATCGGGAAGAAAGTCAGAAAATGACAACAATTTCCTAGTAAAGTCACAGTTTGTCTGGACAAACCTTCAATGAAGCCAAGAGTAACATATATGCCAAGACGTATTCCAAGAGAAAGTTGCTTCATCGCCGAACCATTTAACGTCGTTTCATTTACATTTGACCAAAAAAATTGTAATTTTGCAAAATAAAACACTGAGATGAAATTACGAAATTAGGTAGTAAATTGATGATTAACTTGCTTCAATAGTAGTTATTTTCTAACTGTTCTCTATATAAGTATTCTAGCAAGAAATCTTGTATAATTTCCCTACCATTCAGATAGCCATAATCCACGTCCCATCTGAAACAATCCATAAGACAAGAAAAGAGAAAAAAAGAGAAGTGACGTTGAAACAGTTGCCGATCGAACGTACTGCTTGTAAACATCAAATTTGACCTTAAACGATTTTTTTCTCATCGTTTACTCCAGGCTAACAATTGGCTACTCTCACAAAGCACACAAAGCAAGAGAAACAGTCCAGAAGTGTCTTTATTAATGTTCCCAATTACTTATTTGCAGTTACTTCAATTTTCAGTTACATTAGAGTAATGACGTGCAAACCTAGTTAAATGCTAAAATTTCAGGCACTTAATACACTTCATCAGAAGTATCTCAAAAGAAACTTACCCTGCCAACTTTCACTTTCTCAACTTCAGTCATCTTTCCTACTTTTCCCTTCTCACCACTACTCATCGGATCAATCGAAGATTCAAAAAGCGATTCCGCTATGGAAGGATGATGGGAAATGCGTGACGATCCTTGATCCAATACTGAGAGAGTCGAAATTCGTCTTGAAAAAAAGAAAAAACCTCATCTTTAATCCTTCAATCTTCCCCTTCATCCTTGCACCTAATTTTGAATAGAATGAGTACAAATAGAACTTTTGTTGCAAGTCTTCCGATGATATTGATATTTTGAAAATGTATCGAATTTACAATCGAACACAAAATACTTTTTATATTTAGACTGAAAAAGTAATGAAACATAGTAATCAAACCTGGCGGTACTTTCCTTATTAACATCCTCAGATTCAGATTCCTCGTATTCTACAATGAAATTGTTTCTTTTCATTGGTTTTTTTAATTTTCATTTGAAAATGGGAATTTTAATTTCCAGTCAATTGAAAATGGGACTTTTGCTTCATATAATGATATTAGCGAACATTCTACATTGCAGACTTCTTTCAGATAGGAATCACGAAGGGCAAGACTTGACGTACGAGTACGCAGTGTTGGAAGTAGAAATCATACTTCGGGGAAAGAGGAAATGATTTTGGAATGTTAAAATATTCGATAGAATTTCGCATTCTATTCATAAAAATTGTAAATAAATACTGTTCGAGTGTGAACTGTCATCCAAATTACTCGTTGCACTTTCACTTTCCAATTCTTGTTCTTTTTCATTTTCACTCCTGCATGCTTCAATAAATTTTAAGAAATTCTCGGATTGCTCGAGTAATTGTTTATATGGACCAAATGCTGCTAACTTACCATCTGTAAAATGCAATTAAGCCATTTTCACTTCATTATTTCCATTTGAACTTCTATTCTATTCTTTTAAAATATTTTAAAGTAAGACATAAATTTTTTGAGGTAAAGAAAATAAAATTAGTTACTACTAATTTTCCTTTTTCATCAAACAATAATATTATCACAAATTTAAAATGAACCTTGCATATAAGCAATAATATCAACTTTATTCAGATGTACCAAATTATTTGTTACCAAAATTCTTGTCTTATGTCGCAGTAATCCATTATGACCAATTACCTATAAATAGGAATAGAAGATCCAATCAACTGAGTACAGAGTGATTGAATTACTAAATAAATTCAATGTCACAAAGTTGAACTGATACTGTGTACCTTCTACATATTCCTTTTTCTCTTCCCTATTTCATTATTCCATTATTATGGCTGAAAATTTTTTCGTATAAAAAACAGACACCTGAAGGACAGGTAGAATGTTATCAGTTGACATATTTCTTTCCAATTGAAAATAGCTTAAAAATCCTTAATTATCTTATATTCCTATTAAACAAAAGAGCAAATAAACCGAAAATCACCTTTTCAAAAATATGTTTTCCAACATGGCTGTCTACTGCTGATAGTGGGTCGTCCAACAGGTAATTATCACGGTTTTGATAAACCGCCCGAGCAAGAGCAACTCGAGCTTTCTGACCACCGGATAAATTGATACCCTAAAAATTAACAGTTGGAGTCAAGAGAAGCAAGGAATTTTAACAAATTCTCGACCGACAATTTCCAGTTTTCCATTTAAAAATAATATTTCAATTTACTTACTTTTTCACCAATTTCAGTAGCATCGCCGTTTGGTAAAATTGCTAAGTCTTTCACTAAAGCACAGGCTTCCACAATTTTATCGTAGTACTTTTGATTAAACTGTTTTCCAAATAATACATTATCTCGAAGATTTGAATTCTGAATCCACGGTTCTTGGCTAACAATGGCTATCTGGCCAGACACACCAATGCAACCTTTCAATTTCTCCATCTCACCTGAAACAATGCTATCAAATGATTCAGGTTGATCGCTGTTGGCTTCAAATATTTCACATATGAGTTTAAAATGATAAAATGATTTTTTCACTTTCTAAAATGATTTTTTCATTACCACTTTCTTCTTCAATTTGAAAGATTCTGTCGCTCCTTTATGACACAAATCTGACACTCTCCAAGAAAGAATTTGTACTTATAAACATTATTTCTTTAGACAATATTTAACAAAAGCGCATTGAAATTGTGAAATAAAATAGCTGCAAAATTTTGAGTTGAAAAATTGCGAATCTCTCTTAGCATGAATGCTTGGCTTTGTTATCAACAAATGATGTAATTGATTTTATAACTAATTGAGATTTTATACTTACGAGAAGTTTTTTTTTTTTTTTTTAAAAAAGAAAAACATCACAAAAACTTGAAATAGCTATCTCAAAATAAGCATGAATTACCTAGAATGGCACTAAGAAGAGAACTTTTGCCGCTTCCAACTCTGCCAACCACTGCAATTAGAGATCTCTTTGGTATCGTTAAATAATCGATTTCTAATACAGTTTCCAGTCCTCTAACATTCCAACTCAAACAAGCATCTCGAATTTCCACTGCATTTCTGCCACCTAAATTAATTCAATTAAAGAAGCTGAAATTGAAGCATCCATCAACTTCTACCACGTTATTACAATACGTGTTATTATTATTGAAATGTTATTTTGAATTAAATGATTTCTTCAAACTGTGTCTTTTCATTCGCTTTTCATAGGATAAATATAAAAAAATAAGAAACCAAATTGATCAGTGATGAGATCAATAGTTAATGGATTTAGTTCATCTGCCACCAAAAAACTTTTAATCCGTTTATTCGCTACTGCTGCCTGAAATAATTGAGTTATCTGTTTTGAAAATAAAATAATATATTTATTCCTTTCCAATATTTAGGGAAATATTATTTATAACACTAATTTGTGAAGTTAAGGTATTAAAAATATTATTTTATTTGATGACTGAGAATTTCGAGTTAAAAATATTATTTTATTTGATGACTGAGAATTTCGAGTTCCGATCCTACGACTAAATAATGTAAAGGAAACTGAAATCGAATTAGGTATACCTCTACTGCCTGTTTCATCAGATATGCGATCATTGCCATTGGTGAACGTAGCTGATTAAAAAGAGTTAATGAAACAAAAGCAATTTGTGGTGTAAGGATATGAGTGGAACTTGACAATGTGTATGTTGCAAATGTTAACACCGCTACCTGAAATTATGGCTTTTTCTCGGAAAACATGCAATAGTGACAAAATTTTTTAGACCATCAGATTAGGGAAGTTCTTTTGATAGTAAAAAGTTAACTAGGGAGATCTATAATAGATCATACAAAATCTTATAGTACACAAAAATGTCCGGTTCAGATGATTATTACAAATATTATAGTACTTTCTTCGGTAATTCAATTTGAAAAACTTTCTTTATCTTTGTCTTAAATCAACACTGAATATTCTTCAAAAGTCTAATTGTTATTAAAGCTCAACTCTCAATGAAATTACCAAAGCAAAGACTCACTACATTTTAACATCATATTGTTAATTCAGAAGTTATGAACCAAAAGGAAACTCACAAAGAATGGTGAAGAAGTGTTAAAAGTATCGATGAGAGCCCTAGTTAGACCCATTTTCCGAATCAAATAGAGCTCTTTGCTTCTAATTCTCTCAACAGCTTTTTCCATTGGTGGTTCCCACGAATACATTTTGATTACTTTTATACCATTCAATATTTCATTACAAATTTTCAATCGTTGATCTTTCAAATTCATTTGTTCGGTCTGAAATGTAAAATAAAGAAAAATTCTGAGGAAAATTCGAAAACTTAAAAAAAGGAAAAAATAATGAAAAGTAAGTCATGCACCTATTTCTGAAACAAACAAATGAAAATTTGTGACATCAAAGATGAAACTTTTTGGAGGCAAAAAAAATGAGAAATGAAACGAATAAACCTGCCATTTTTTGACAATAATTGAAGTAATAATATTTAATGGCAAGAACAGAGTCATGACAATAATGTCACAAGCAGCTGATGCTCCAATGGTAAAGAAATGATATATTAAGACAAGCATAATCTGCAAATACTGTTTATGTTGAAATTTTAGGCGAACAGATGTAGATGACAAGATTTAAGAAGCTTAAATAGATAAAATGTGTCCAAATTATTAAGAGCCAAACTAATGAGAAAAGGACTAGTCTGAAAGTAAGCAAAGAATTTGAATGTTACTAAAAATGTAACCAAAATTATCAAAAGATGTTATTGTGTTGCTAAATTACAATGATTTAAATTAGAAAATAATCAAAATTACAACAAACCTGAAATGGAGATGACCAGAATTGCTGTACGTGTGCTGTAATAGATTGAAAGCTCTCCACATCAATTGCCATTAAATTCACAATCTCACCCACTGTCCTAGCTCTTCGGGCTGAATTCGACAGCCTCAAAGTCTTCAATTTGATATATTAACAACAAGATGTATAGAATTGACATAAAATCTTTATCCTTTAATACTAGAAATAGTTTAGTCAGAGTTTTATAGTCTAAAATCTAAAATTTAGAGTATCATTTTAAATGTCGCAATAAATCCGAGTGAGATAAACCTTCCGATAAATAGCAGCAATTAATGTGGACTGAATTTTGGTACCCACTCGCATCATCAGGTAAAAGTAGTAATTGAGGAGAAATGAGCGAAGTTCAACGCATACAAACATTGCCACTGCATAGGTAATGCCTTCCATGAAGATACGATCCTTAGTTGAAATGTAATTTAGCAATAAGCTGCAAAATAGTGAAGCCTTTTGGATCGTTGTTGCAGAGAAGATTAATTTAATTCAAAAATTACGATTTTAAGAAATTGGTAAGATAGTACCAGGTAAGTGTAGAAAGTTGAAAATGGATTATCTCAAGCTATCCTTAATATTTCACAAGGAATCTCAAAATGATCAAAAAAGACCCTTATTTAAAGTAGTCATCATTTCAATCTTTTCCATACATAATTTGTCTGATTAAGTTTAAGGGAAAAAATTGATTTCAGGAATAAGTTCTCGAAATTCCTGTGAGTTATCAAAAACTGCATACTTGAGAAAAAATGGATTAGCAAGTTGCATCATATCAGATAGGATTTTAATAGCTGTTGCTGATAAAATTTCAAAACGAAACATTAGAAATAATCGCCACACGACTGATGGTGGTTCCGGTCTGTTTTCTCTGAAAAGAATTGTTTAATTGAAATTATACAGACCCAAACTTAATTTTTTAAGATTAAGGCCAAACTTTTTAGAGCATTTAGAAGTGTTGTCGTTTTGCGATGTACTTTCATAAATTTTCTGTCTTCTACGATAATCTGAAACAAATTTAATACATATAAATAAACAAAAAGAAAAGTTATATTAACATTTGAAAAAACTTTCTTTAAGACTTAAAAAAAAAATTTAAATATATGTTAGCTTTTACGTTTTCAAATAGCTGATTATTTCGATTCTTTTTTTTTTTTAAATCGTATTTAATTCATACGGTTGTCACAAACCCTCAATAGCAGGATTCCACAGTTCTTCCCATTTGGTAGATAAATATTCAGCAGTGCTACCCTCATTGAGTTGATATAAATCATTAGTAACCAATGTTTTTCGAGCACCAAGCAACTGAATTGTTGTAAACCACCAGAGTGACAAACGATTCAGGAATGAGCTATACAGTTCAGGTGACAAATTCTGGAAGAATTCTACTCTGAATATTAGTGATGTTATTGTTTTGCACATTCAGATAAGAAAAAATTTTTCAATTTCTTGGAATACAGACCGCAATCTATTGTAATACAAAATGTAAATTCCTATTTTTGATTATATCATGGCTTATCAGAATTGTAATAGTTGATTCAATTTTTTGATTCCTCAAAAATTTAGTGATAAAGTTTGAAATTTTCATTGCTTTTAGAGAATGTAATTGCGGAACATTGATATGGCTAACTTTTTTTGTGTTCGCGAATGCGAACACAAAATGGTTTTTTATTTTATAACTAACTGAACAAAAATTGAAGATCCGAAAATTCTGGTTAATTATGAGGAAAATACGTTCAAATTATTATTATCTCCTGAATTTTTTTTTATATTGTAAAAAAGAATACCAGTTGCTTTCTTGCTTTCGTCAAGAATGGCGCTCGATAATCGGCAAATGAAAACAAGAAGGCTTGAAAGGTAACAAATGGATACCACAAGTGACAGACGAGAAAACGAGCTTTATCTATGTTTTGCATTGACTGAAAAATAACCACTACGGATAACTTAACTTAGTCAAATATAATTTTGTATTCGAAGCCTACTCTACATCTCATCTATCGATTTGCATGTTCATATGACAATCACAAATTGATAATTTTTTATCACTTTCTGTGCACTTAGTTACTGAACTCTTAGCTAAAGTTAAAAATTTCTAAATTTTTTGCAAAAAATGCAAACCATAAAACTGCTAATTTCTTGCCATTCAAAGAAATATTCCGGAAAGTCACACAGTACGAAGAGTATCAAAGTAATATGTATTATCCCAGAAGTGATCATTCCATTTTTTCGTGCCGTTAAAACACAACAAAATAAGCCCAACTGAAACAGAAGATTTGAACTGTTTATCTCATTTTAACAGGATTTAGTATGACAGAATACTCAATTGATTTAGGCTATTCAATTTTCAATATATTATTAAACTGACCATAGTAATTGTAATAATAGCTGGATAGAGCAAATCAGTAAGCAATATATTTACACCTCTTTCATTATTATGCAGGTTAATGACAAGCCTTGCAAATGCGCTTGCTAATAAGCATATCATTAATACCTAAAATGTTTTGATATATGATTAATTTGATATTCTCTACTGCTTCTTAAAAGGTTATTCAACCAATTTCACAACATAACTTTGCTGCTGTAATCATTATTCTAATCTGTTCCGTTCATCATTCAGGCCAGTCCAACTTTCCGGTTCGTTTCTTATAGTATATTTCAATATTCAATTGATGTCACTGCTCTTTTACAAAAATATATGAAAAGTTACAGTTTTAGTAATCAACAGTGCAGTCCATGGCAGCGGTTGAGAACGCATTCCTCCATTTAGTCGTATTCGACAAATCTGTGCGCAAAAGACTGGCAGTAAGAGCCAGAAGAATATGCACGGTAGAACAGGTAGAACAGTAACTCGAAGACATCCAAAGTCATCTCTTACAGTTTCATTCAAACTTTCCTAGAATTTAGCAGTGCAGTCCACTACAGCATTAGTCGAATTCATGCATATGCTAATAGTGAATTGCTGAAGAATTTAAAAAAAATTGAAAAGTAATTGAAAAAGGACTAACGTTGCAATATGTACGCAACGTGTCAATTAATATCATAGCTATGTTGATAAGATTTTTATCAATTCACTGCAACAGAAAACTGAAATAATTTGATTACATATTCAAGAAGAATCAGATGTATTCAATACTGCTAAATATTTTACAAATAGGAAAGCACAGCAGATTGTCTGGAATAAAAAATAGATGTGAAGAGGAAAGTTATTTAAGGAAAGGATAAATAATTTATTGTTTATAAAAAGTTTTGTGAAACCTTTGTGAGGAATACACTTCCAGATGAACGACTTATCATAAATAAATGAAGTGTCGAAAATTTCAATTCATTTGGATGTTATTTAAAATTAATAGAGCTTAAATTATATGAGAAACCCTTAATTAATCAAGTTCATTATTGGCATTCATACTGAGTAATGATTACAAAAAAAAAAAATCAATGATTCAAGTTTGTTGTTTTGACACACACAACCATAACTAACAGCCCAATTTGTTCACTAAGTTATTTTATCGTTGACATTGAAAGTAGCATGTCGGTGATAAATAAAAATATCATAGCGAACATCACAAAATTCATCCATTTTACAATTGAGAATGGACAGGAACGACGATTTATTTTTGATTTAAAATACTTTGTATACAAATAGTGATAGTACTGATAAGAGCTAACGTAGTGATTACAATATCAGTGTTCGCAATGTTGAGGACTTGTTCAGGAGTCATTGTTAGAAGATCAACCACCAAGTAAATATTAATCAAAATGACCTGGGGATGATCAGTGGACATTTTGCTAATATAAATTTTGGTTTTTGTATGCAAACAAAACATATTGTCGTATTAAATAAACGGGCTAACCAACAAACTAATAAATTCGTTTAGATTATACCTTGTGAATATTCAAAGCAGCAATCAATCTGTGATATCTTCTAATGTAGTCTGTCTGAGTCATTGTTTACAATCTGCTATGTAATGTGCTTATTGTTGATAGGAATGGAATGCAATGTGACTGCATGTGACAACTATCAATGGTAAATGAATTATCGTTTCTGATGTTGTCAAGCATCAAAGAGATTAAAACATCAAAATTGTGAATGAGCGGGTTGTTTTGAAGCAGAAATTAGTCAGAACACATGTCGATGAAAGGAATAAATAATTGTTAAGGCAGAAAAAATGATTGTATGTTGTTTGGATTGAATTCTTCTGGAATTGTATAGCAGTTGGTTATGAACTTTAAAAGTAATTAGCAGTCAAATGATAATCAAATAATTAATAGCTAGTAGTCGGCATTGATTTCTGAGGATAACAGCATTAATGCAACCAGTAGTTTTTTTCCTTTCGGGTATACGATCTGCTATCCTGTATCACAAGTATCCGGTTAACACATAATTACAACAACAACAGGTTCGGTTTTTTTTCTTTTATCGGAAAAGTTATCACTTCATAGTTTCTGATTTATTAAACAGCAACAAACAACATTTTCCATATATCGTTAATAAAAGATGCAAACAATCATTCTTGAAAGTATGAACGAAATGACAAACGTCTGATCGCTGCTTAATCATTTTATAATTATGTGATAAACTGATTATAACTTCAGATAAAATCATACTTCTAAATAAAATTTGTAGAGTATATTTTGTCCAGAATCATGATATTATTTGCATGAATATCAATTACTCTATTGGAATCACAAATGGATCAGAATATTATAGTTAGAGAAGAATTATATTTCGATAGAATTAGAAAGAGACATTTAGTTCAAATGATTGATAAGTAAATTTAAAAAAAGCAATATTACTCATCAATCCGATTGTATGTAGTTTATTGCTTTATTTAAGTTGAATCGACTTGCATCAACTTGCTATTTAAATCAGTCAATCAATCAATCAATCAATCAATCAATCAATTCTGATATTATATAGAATTTTAGCTGAATTGGTTTTTTGATTACCTTTGATGAAATGATTTTTTTAATTGAAATTTCCTGCAATTGAAATTAACTGTTTTGATAAAATCCAAGACATTCTTATTTATGTGTGCAATAAATTAAACTCAAATCTTTTACTTAGTTCACGTGTGAACAATTTAACACAGTTAGGAATATTCAGAATGTTCTTATCAAATTAACATTTTCCTTATCAGACAATAACAATTTCCTAGTTACAGTTGGAAAATTAATCTTTTAAAACAATCAGAATAAATATTGCTGTTAAATCACCTTTTACATGAGTTTTTAAAAAGTCCTTTCGAAAGAAATTAATACCTAAACTCTGTAAATAGGAAAACATAGTAAAAACAATTATTTCACAACTATTAATAAATACATATTTCAATGACAAGTTTAAGCAAATATCTAGGATCAATGATTATAGAATTAATGGTAGGTAATCTGATTAAACTATTACAATCCTTATTCTATTCACAGATTTTTATTTCTCAAGATCTATGTACATACTTTATTTTAGAAAGTGTATACTCATTTTGAATTCTGAGTTACTTCTTATGAGAGTATTATAGGAAGAAATTGGATGAAAGCTTTGTTCCATTTTTGATTGTGACAATGCACTGATGTTAATTTAGATAATTTACTTTCTCAGCTAGTTTCATTTCTAAAAGCGATTTTCGCGCTTTTGAAGGATTTTAAGAATTTAATAATGACAAGTATTAAATTTCTAAAACTTATTTATAAGTAGACGAACAAATTATTAACATTTCTCATTTTTTAAGAATGGACTTAAACTACCAGCAGAAGAACTGCTACAACTTCCATCTCGAATACCGCTATCGATGCTACCATTAGATATGCGAGTATCTGTGGTGTCAAATGTTTGTTTTATTGTTGCTGATGGGACATGTAGTGGAATTGATTGAGTTTGGCATGAAGAAGGACACGTCACAGCAATGAGCGGTAATAAATCTCTTGTTGAAATGATATTACCATCAGTCTGCGATGAATTTTCCTTGACTAATTCCTGCTGATGCTGCCGCTGCTCTTGATGATGTAACTGCTGGCAACGTTGTGACAATTGTGACAATCGACGATGCTAGCAATTATGAAACAATAAATTTTTTTTTTTTAGTCATGAAAATTGAAAAAAGAGACATGAAAAAACTGTATAAAACCAAAGTGATCTAGGAAGTGTGATTTCTTTTAGATTCCCTTCAGATTTATTTGGAAATAGAAAAATCTAAAGAAATTCGCAACTATCTAAAAAAAAGACCATTAGAAAGCTCATAAAATGATACCAATTTTTCATTTGTTGACATTCGATTACAACTTCTTGGCGGAATTGGTATGCGAAGGACAGAATTCTTGCGAGAAAAGTACTGCTTGTTTTGATTTTCCTTCGGCTCATCATCCACATACAAATTAGTAACTGCTGATATTGACTTATTGAATGTTTTCGTCTTATTATCGGACCACCACTCCTAAACTTCAAAAAGATGAACCAATCACTTTGGAACGAAAATGCTTATATAAGCACCTGAAGGTGAATTCATTAAAAGTGTCATTCTTAATTCAAAAATCTTCACATGTCGAAACATTTGATGAATTTTTTTTTTCACAATGACATCATTAGCTAGTGAATTCATGCCTATGATCATTAGCAAGGCTTATTTTGGAAAGGCTTCTAATGCTTTCGTGCCTATTGCTCTTTCCTCTTTGCTTATTTCATTTAATTGTCAGCTGATTAAGAAAATAATTTTGGAAAGAAATGAAAAAAACGATAGCTTGGCTTTTTTAAAAAGAAATGTGGCATTTAATTTGTGTATTTATTGCTAACCTCATCGTCATCAATTTCCTCCTCTAACGAATTCAGGGATAATTGGCTACAGTGATGAGCTTGACTTTTGGATTTCAATTCCTGGATGGAATCTCCAAGTGCTAATAACTGTTGCAGCAATCGGACGTCATTTTCCATCAGCGAGATCTGCAGCAATTAAGATAATATTAACAGGTATCATCAGTGGCAACTTAATTACTCAATTTGCATCAGGTCTTGTCCCATTTTGTGTTACGTCCAACTCTTGCAAGTCTTCTTTAAATAGGAATGGCAGAAATGCGTTGCAAGATGCATGCTAACATGCACTCATCATTGTGTTCTACTCTATCAGCAGTACAGTGGTAGCATTAAATTTATGTGTTCCACTGAACTCAATTACTGTTCTTAATATTTTTTTACGTCATTCATTATATCATTTATGTTCACTATCAAATATAAGTTAAGATTAGAAATGAACTATATAGACCAAAATTCTAATTTATTTCATGCTCGAAATTACAGGCGGGGAAGATTTTTTCCTCAAAAAATTTCTCAATCCAAAATCTGTTCAATTCCCCATATGAATGAATAATTTAACTAGCATTATTCTATGCGCTTCAATTTAATTCATCTATCCCTCCTACTTTATTCTTGTGTTCAATTCTTGCTACGAATATTAAATTGTACTATGCTATGTTTGTGACCTTTTTGAATTCACTGAAACGGAACATTTCCTATTTGCATATTTGTTAATCCCTATAATTCCTACTATTATCAATACATGACAAGAGGACAATTGACGAAGAAAGCAGAGACAGATTAAAGGAAAGTTCTTTTCAGCCTCAAGCCAATGTCATTTAAATTGTGTATGAGTTATAGATATGTTTTAATAGTAATAGAGAATGAGATCAGTAAACAGGAATGAATGGTAACAAGGAGGTGACAAACTCTAAGTTAGTCTTTTTAATGTTGACGTTTGAAAACAGTGAGTGTATGTTTGCTTCTGCTAGTAATAATACCGGAAATGGAGGACAACAACTGATATCTGTGACAACATGCCTCAGCACTTGTAATAGTACATGTTTTAATATTGCCTCAGCGACATAATCGAAATTCAATAAATGTGCGATGTGCTCATTTGCTGTAGAAGGTTAAATAAATTTAGAGTTATTGCTGTGCTATTGTCATTTCTGTTATGCTTGCAAGACAGTTTGGGCAAAGGAATAGTTTATTGGGCTCTGTTCAAATGGCCAAAGAATCTTTGAAGTGTAGATTAGATTACAGGAGAAAGACTACGAAGGAAGCAAAGGGAAAAAAATGAAAAATTATATTCCACACTTGAATGTTTTAGTTATTTTATCATCTAACCTTATTGTTGGTACCATGCACTTTTTCAAAGGACTAACTGATAAATGTCCAAAGAAGGTCATGAGTCTTTCTCTTCTTGTTGATCATTGATTTGTGGTGGTCATTTGATTTGATAAAAAAATGATATAGTGGACTAGAAAATTTCCCTTTCTGGAAAAATCAGGAGACTTCTACAAAAATCAGTGAAGTAGCAACTATAATTATTAAATCAAAACTAATATTTCAAAATCCATGCCAAATCTTTCTATAAAAATTGGATTTCCATATTTTCAAGCGCCAAAAGTACTTCATTTTAATGTCAGACTTTTGCAGAAATCTTGTCTTTTTACGAAATCTTATTTTTTAAAACAAATTCCGTGGCAAATTAGTACTTAAGGAATGAGCCTATTGAATACATTACTCTTTATCTTCTGTATTACTTAGACGGAAACTGAGCATGAAATATCTAATCAGTTAAGCTGCTTCCGTGTTGTTCGTAAGAACGAGCAGTTAGTGACCAATTATTTATAGTCCAACAACCGATCAGCACATTATTCCATCTGCCAGAAGCTATCAAAAAATCTTCCAGCGTTAATTACCCATTTCATTTCGTATGGGTTAACTATGATAATAATGACAGTGACAGATAACCTTGAACGGGCGGTTAATGTTTGTTCAGAATATGTTATCACCCATGTTGAACAACTGATAATTATAAACATTGCTGAACAGAGCAGAACGGTGTTAATTATGTTGATGAGTACCGACACATTTCCAAAAATTATTACCCTTGTGAGAAGATAGCATACATACCACAAATTATATAAAGTAAATATTCTGATGTATAAATGAACGGTTTTATGTTTTTTTTTCGACTTAAAATCGTTTACAGTATTTCAACAAATTAAAACGGCCATTCATTTGCTAAAGTTCCAAAATTTGCGCAGTTGTCATCAATAAAGAAATAAGGAAAACAGTGAAGCATTGAGTTTGAATAAACTAATTTGTCAACAGCAAATAGTTGTATTTTGTAGACAAATTTGTCACTTCCACTTACACATTTCAAGTTAATTAATCCTTTTTGTAAATTTCAAATTTGCCCTGCACAAGAACTACCGCCAAGCAAATTCCAACACATTCAGTGGGCATTTTTTGCTCTTTGTCTTCATTAATTATTTTGGATGAATTGTCTTATTTTTTCGTTAAATATAACACAAACTAATAAGTTTTAGTAATTTGCAATACATGGAAAATTCATCAAACTGTTGTTTTCCATTATTTCTTCATCCAACTTACAATTTTTTAATATTCTTTAGTGGACAAGAAGTGTTGATTTTTTAAAATTAAAAGAATTCCAGGATTTTGCCAAAAAAAATTGAAATCAAGCAGTTTTTAATGTAGATCTGATAATTAATAGCTGGGAAACTTTCTCAACGAAACTTGGGTTAAATAGAAAAAATAATGTCAAGAAAACATTATTATAAAATATTGAATAGACACCAATATGTTATATTAAATGAAAACTGAAAAGTCTCATTTCTTCAAGGAAAACATTGTACCGATGTGTAATGTTTAGGAGCTATTTTAATGAATCTCGTTTCATTTTTAAATACACATAAGACTCCGTATTTCGGTGTTTTATTACTATTAGTGATCAGCGCAAAAAGCATTGTAATTAGCAACAATTAGTTCACTAATACTTTGGCTACTTAAAATCCTTATGTCTGTGCAAGCATAAAAATAGGAAATATGCTTAGTCTATTGCTTGATAGAAGTAACAGAATTCAAAAGACGCTTGAAATCATGTGAAACACTGCAAATCTTACCATTTTTTCGCGCAAAAGATCGAAATTCCTTTGTGCTCTTCGATTAGAATCATTACAATCAGCGCTATTATTAACGCTTGTTATCGTGGTCTTTGTCACTGATTCAGGCTTCTTTGTTGACAATATTGAGGATTGTGATGATACAGTTGACAAGGTAATAGTTAAGGAGGAGTATGGTGATAAGCATGCAGGTGGAGGCAAATAACCATTATTGTTATTGCTGTTATCAGTCTGCACAAAGTTAGGTGTTACCGGTGTGCCTTTCCGGTATGAATCAGCAACTGATAAATGTTTTGTTGGATTTGCTTCAGTTGTGGAGGAGGTAACATTGATGGAAAAAGCTCCCTTAGACCCGAAACGAGGGGAATTTGTCATAGGAGCAGTCTTTGACTCAGAACAAAACGTGTTTGTTCCTAAACAAAAGGGGATTGTCTCTGATTTGACAGAAGAAAGGACAGTATTTTCAGAGCATCTAGAAAACGTTATGTTACCACCGTGAGACGCAGAAATTTCCGATTCCCTTAGCATAAAATCAAAACCGGAGCTGGCAAATGGGTAAGGAACTTCGTCGTCCAAATTGCAAAAACTTTTCGTTTTTTTACAGCGTTCCAATCGCTTTAAACGATTAGCACAGAATCGCCGGTAATCCGCCAAATTATCGTCCATTTATTTTGACCTGCAATTTAGTAGCAGCATTTACATTTTTTACGAGTCATTCCTTCCTCAATTAAAATCCGTCGCAAAAAGCAAGCAGTTGCGAAATGTTACAAAAACAGCATAACAATAGGAATAGCTATTTTCAACATGAATATGATATCAAATTCTATGAAAGCCATTCACATTTACTAAAGGGGAGGAGTTCATATCTCTGTGAAAGTAAGGTCCAAAGAGGACAGAATATAAATGTTGTTCAAGAAATTGAACGTATAAAAAAAATGATTTCAGTAATCGTAAAGTTTTCAGCTTAGATTGGTGAACATCCACGCGATATTCCGTTTTTTGAAATTTACGTTTTCATTTCTGTTTTTATTCTAACAGACTTCAAAAAGCAATTAAATTTTCATAGTGATCTCAATGCTTTTAGACAATGCTCTTAGAGAGCGATGGCAACTCAGCGAGACGATAAGAAAGCATTTATCGTTGCATGTTAAAACCGGAATGATGGCAAGAAAAATGAATTCTTTATTGAGTTCAATTTCTGTAAGCACTAGAGCAACCGTGTGATATTTATGCAACATTTTAACATGCAGTAGAAAATATCTCGAAATGTCCGATTCAATATATTTGTGGAAGTTCAATAAGCTGCTTTATCGGATCAATTGCCAGCATAAGATGTCACATCAGTATGCATTTTATTGTTACTATCGGAGATTGAAATCATTTGTTGTTTTGCAAATTCTTATTCTCACTACTAAGACGCATTAGATTACTTATAAATTCCCAGACAATGTCACGTTGATTGGAAAAGGAAAACCCGTAAAGAAATTAGCTATTTCAAGCGGTAGTAGAGGGTAAGTCAGGTCACTGTTTCATTCATTGTTGAATTTTTCCTCTCATAAAGCTTGAATATTTCATTTCATTCACTTTTTTTTGACCGATACTCAAAAGTGGATTAATTTTCAAATATATATTTAGATTAAGCAGCAGCCCCGTTATTTTTCAAATTTTAAAGATCTAATGAGGAGATTGATAAGGAGCGATAGAACAATCGGCTCGTAAACTTAATAAGAAATTCCTTTTCCCTCGTGATTCCACATTTCTTGAACAGCTGATAAAGAAATAAAAATTTAAGTAAATGCGATAAAAAAGGATCAGAAATGAGGAAAGGTTGACAGGAAAAAGAAATGAGAAAAAATGGAAGAAATAACTGCTCTAGAATAAATTTGCTATCCTATGAAGTCTTAAGAATTAGAAAAAAAATTAATAATTCAATTTTTTCCATTATGTAATTTTAAGTTGGAATAAAGGAAAATTTAATTTGCTATTAATCGGTGTCAGCTTTTGATCAATCAGAATTGTATTCTTTGCTTACTTTGTACCTTTTATTTAATATATACTTTTAGCTTTTAGTTGTGCAAATGGAAGAAAGTTCTATTTTATATCCCAATTTTATGATTTCTCCTTTCAAAAAATTTGGAAATGTTCATTATGACTTATTATCTAAAAGCTAAGCATAACGAATTGAAAATTTAAGATAGTTGAAAGCATAATTAATGCATGATGTGATGTAATGTGACGTAAGTCGTAAAAATTGAAATTAGCAAAGATGGATGTAAATTGAAAAGCGCAACATTTAATAGAAATATGTGTGTTTTCTGGTCAAATTAAGAAAATGAAATTTAGGTGATCTGATGACGACTGATATGGTACGAACAAAAATGATAAATGTTATTTAATTTCTCCCATCCTTCATTCTACCTTCCCTTTTCGTATCTTTCGAATATTTCACACTTCAAAAAGCTTTTTACTTATCATTCACATTATTTTAAAAATTTGATAAAAGATTACGGTTTACGTACTCGGTTACGTACTCGGAGAACCAAACTAATTTCGAATTCCACTAATTTTATCCGTTTATTTATCACTGACAACTATCTGTTGACATTTGCTTAATGATTGCAACGCTCAATAATTATTTTTCCACGAATGAAGAAAGAACAAAGAGAGGGAAGGAAAGAAATATCGTGTGTGATAAGCATTTATCAGCTTATCATTATTAATCGTCAAATGTATGAAAAAGAATTTCATCATATTAAAATGCGCTTTCAATTATAAAGATTGGAGTAAAAGATAGACGAAGAGCAAAATAAAGGACATTTGGTGAGAGCAGGAGATTTATTTATCACCAAACGGGTTTACTCATCAAAGAAAGGGGAAATTTCAAGAGGGTTTCGACAAATAGTTCATTCATTGTATTTCTCGATGGACTACTACGTTGAAAAACCTGATATCCAAGGCGAATTTATATTGATGTTTGTCAACCCTCCTGCAACCGTTGCATGCATGCATGTTTATCTGTTCTCCTGTCTTGTAAATGAATTAATTCTGACAAATGGATCAATTTAATCAACTTTTTTTTTTTTGCATCACTACTAGCAACCACTAAATTAAATTAATTTTTTTTTTTATCCTAAATTCTTTCTATATTTTTTCTTGCAGAGTACATTTTTTTGTTTGCAATATGAAACGAACATATGTAATAAATAACAGACTTCAGTGAGGCGTTTAAAATCAAATTAGTCATTTAAACAATTCATATTTTTATTGTTTTAAAATTACTTTTCCAGGGGTAAAGAGAAAAAAAGTAATTCTGTTCAATTTAATAAGCGTTTAATTAGCCAATGAATTGATGGATAGTATTTTTCATCGGATCCTAGTGATTGACTTTTTGTATTACTAATCTAATCTGTTAGGAAATTTATTTACACTTTGATGTTTGCATATTCATAATGACAGCAAATATTCACAGACGAAAGTTAAACTTAGCTTTCTAAATTCTCTTCTCTTCAACAATAACTTTCCCTGAGTAGATTTTTTAACCAGTATTGTTAGCAAAACATTGATAAAGACTTTGAAACACGAGAATTAGACGAGCTATTAGATGGAAATAAATAAGTAATTCATCCATGTGAATAATGTCACAATTAATTTAAACGTGGATAATACTACGAATAACTGCAAAAACACGTTCTCAAAGAATTTTTTTTCTTTTTTTGATAATAAATTAGGTTTAACAATATCACAGAGATAGCTGAAATAGACTGATTTGAATCAAATCACATGCTGGAAATGAAGTGTCGCAAATGAATGATACGACAGATGATAATTGTGCAGTGCTTGCAAACAATTTCATTTCAACATTATTGCAATTAATGTAGACAGAAAATATGCAAGCAATGAAAGCATTAATAGAGATTTGAGCAGTAAGAAAATATCAGTTTTCAGCATCATTGAACTGATAGAGGGAAGGAAATGAAAGCAATCATTAGGTAACCTTTAACCTGTGATAGTCTCAGTATTCTTTTAACGAAATTGAAATATCCAATGAAGACGTCAAAATAGTATTTGTAATTACTGCTAATAAAAATAAAATCAGTATTAGTTTTTTTCTGAAATTCAAGAAGGGATAGATTTTGCAATTTCTAAAGCATTTATTCTTTCTCACTCCCTTTCCATTTTTCACTAACTATTTTAGATTGAATTATACAAGAACAGTTAGGGAAAGTATCCAGTCAAATGATTTGATTCATTTGATCTGTTTTTGATTTTTAAAATAGTAAAAAATGGAAAGAGAGTAAGAAAGATAAATGCTTTGGAAATTGCAAATTTAAAGGTTTGAAGGATTATAAAAGCCATTAATGCTTTAGAATACAGAAAATTGGTCAGATGTCAATTACATCTCGAAATGCGGGCAGGCAGGAAACCAGCAGACATCTTCCACTGAATGTACGATTTGGCCCAGCTTCGTTGCTAGAGAGGGTTCACTTGAGAGAGGTAGATCGGAAGGACATTAGACCCTTCTTTATTCCTTCTGTCACTCGCAACTCTTACAATATTCATCTGCCTGGCTGTTTTCTTTTGGTGAGCTAATCATCAGAAGGTCAACGTAGATTCAAATGGATTATTGCCTCTTCTAATGTGTCATAAAATGGTACCAAGCGGAGACGGTGGTGAAACTTTGTTTGTGTAATATCTGTGTGCAATCAGCGCCTGTTAAGCCAATAAGTGATCGCTTTTTTTTTGAAATTGCCAAAAGCAAAGGCAAACCGACAAACAACGAGTAAATAAATGGATGAACAAAAAAGTAAAGAGGGAATGACCGCTGCTGAAACACTATGGCAACGAATCTACTTATTATCAGAGAGATTCATAAGAAACCCGAAATGACAAGAATTAAACATATTAAAACATTGCTAATCTTCAACTCTTCATTTTTGTTTTTCTGTCTTATTTTATTATTTCGTCATTTTATTTAGAAGATAATACACATTTTATTCTTTTTTTTCTTTTTGTCAAATTCTTGTCTTTATTGAAAATTTTCTAAAAAGTTTTAAGTAATCAAATGATAAACATTTGCCATAGCAATTTTTCATAAATGGACTTCTCTAGTAAAAGGAATTGCTTAGCCAACAAAGCAGATGTTTACTTTTGTTGCATACAAAATGAACCTATTAAAACGAATTATTTCAAAATTTAATTTAATTTTGAATTACTGAAAACACAAGAAAAGTTATTATTGAATGATTATTATTAAATGCGTTTTTCAAATATCATAAATAGAAATGAATAGAAAACCCCACTTTTTATTTAAACCATGAACAAATTACAATTCCTTCATTGCATTCTCAAAGTTTTTTTATTTACAAGCTCAGAGTTTTTCAACCATAAGATGATGAGTTCTACTTTGAACTGCAAAAATAAGAAATTGCTACGAATAAGTTTATAATAAATACTTCTTCTTGTATAGTAATAATAGCTGAACGACTAGCAGCTGTCTATTTCATCAGAATAAAATGACGTCATAAGGGTGGACACCAGCTGTAGAAGCGATAACCGATGGCAATAAAATGACATCGGTAGCAGATGCATTTCTGAATTGACAAAATGAAAATGAGAACTATACAACTGAGTGAGAGGGAACAGTCGTAGGATTGATCAGAAGTGTT